ATGATCCTTGCTCCTGTTTCTTTACTTATTCCATCCAAGTCTAAAATTCTCAAAATTCTTCCTCCTAAAACAGCTCTTTCATTTATCTTCTCCTGCTTCTCCCTTCTTCCCCTGCCCTTAGACCCTAGATTTCTGCTTTAACTTTCTAAGGCATCTCTACCTCTAGAGATTTCCATGTGCTTTTTTTCTAGGATATTTTCTAAAATGCAAATCTGATCAACAGTAGAAGATAAATAATAAGCATTTAAGAACCTTCATTTTAATTTCTTTTTACCTTTCTAGCCTCATCTCCTGCCACTGACCACACACACCCCACACTTCAGGGATGCTGAGATACATGTCATTTGCCCATGAGCCTGTTCCCTCGTGCCTCTGGTTCTGCTCTGGTGGAGCTGCGACCTGTCCAGTCCTTTGAATCTTCACTGATCTCCCGCCTGCCCAGCAAGGCAGGGGTAATAACATCCGCCAGTTGCACTGTCTCAGTGACAGCACTTGTCTCAAAGCAGTTGTTTCTAAGTCTGTTTCTCTACAAGATTATGAAGCCGCTGAGCAAAAGCACCAGGGATAGCTCTTATCTCCAACAAGTGTCTACTCACGTATGTGTATGCTCAGTCACTTAGTTGTGTCCGGACTCTATGTGACCCCGTGGACTGTAGTCTGCCAGGCCCCTCTGTCCATAGAATTTTTCCAGGCAAGTATACTGGAGTGGGTAGCTATTTCCTCCTCCAGGGGATCTTCCTGACCCAGGGATCCAAGAAGTGCTCAACACATGTTTGGAAAATTCTCCACCAAAGATGAGCTGCCTTCTGACGTCTCAACTCAGGTTCTCTTCTTCCCTTGTGATTCTGCCTCTCTTAACTCCATTTAGGGATTCAAATACACAACAGTCTTTGGGATACTCAAAATGATTTCCATTTCTGGTTCCAAACTCTTCATCAAGCCCGAGACCGTCACATCCATTTTTGTTACACCTCTCTACCTGAGTAGGCAACTTGCTCGACATAATCAAACTACACTCATCTTCTCCATAAACTGTTCATTTTGACCCTGGAACCTTCCTAACCTACCCTCCATCTGCTCCCACTCCAACATGATTCAGCCTTGTAGGTAAGATCTAGACTTGCTGCCAACTCTCAACTTCAGATGATTTTCCTTCCAATTATCTATCTATCTTTTCAAAGAATTTCTTACTTTTACATATGTTCTTTACTTAGAAAACTGATCTTACTCAACTTCTCTGATACCTAGTCCAAGATTTCTGGATGGCTTCACTTACCTTTCTCTTTTCTTCTAGTCTGAGAAAGAATGACTCTCTTCCCCTTAGGTGGTCCTTCTCCCAGTCTTACATCCAAGTCTTTGGCCCCTTCCTAGAGGCGCAAGAGAGAGTCAATTATTCCTTCTTTATTTTGAATCTCTCTTTTACTACTCCTTTCCTTTTCTCTCCATTTATAGACGTATTCTTCTTATCCTAAGAAAAAATAAAAATTCTTTTATCTCAGTCCCTTCTTTTGTTTTCTTTTCAATGTCAAAATAATCTACATCTGTTGGTTACTCTTAGTACTGCTCTGTGACTTACTTCTACCCTTATCGCTGTAATAACTGCACTGTAAAAGATAACTAATGATCCCCTAATTGCCAAATCCAAAGACTTTTTCTCCATCCTCAGCCCCTTGCCTTTCTGTAACGTTTATATTGTTAGGACACACAGCATTGTGGTTAAGCAGCCCTAAGAGTTAAACTGCCATAATTTAAAGTTACTTCTGTAAATTGAAATCTTTGTATTTTGATAAGTTTGAAAAATCTCCTTGTTGCTCCATTAATCATCTATAAAAAGAAATGAGAATAACGGTATAGGTTTCATAAGGTTGTTGAGTGGATGATAATTTTGGTAACACATGTTGCAGTGCCTATCTCATAGATATCCAATAAGCATTTACAATTGTGTTTGAGCCCACCCTTTCACTTTTGGGGGGTAAAGTTCTTCCTAAGCTTATTTAAACCATGTTCTTCTTCTCATCCACTTCTATGTATAACTCTTTAACTGCTTAGCTGGGTGATATTGGGTAAGTCTTTAAGCCTGATAAATGGAGATTACTACTTATTCATAAAAATATTGAAATGATGCATGTAAGAAGTTTAACTTTAGCATACCATCTGGCATTAAGAAAATACTTGCTTTCCTGACTAAAGAGACAGAAAAAACATCTGTGATTCAGTAACTTTCCTTCTTCTTGTCTTAAATCTGAATGTTGATTTCTGATATAAGGCAATCGCATGGCAACTAGGAGAGAAAAACCAAGAGAACTGCAGAGATGACCATCTGATATCGTTGAATAAATGTCAGCAGTCCCTATGTCAGAATTTTCATGTTTGTTTTTGTTCAGCCATTGTGAACTGGCTTAAACTATGTGATTTTTCTATTACTTGCAGTGAAAATATTCCTAATGATACAGTCCCAGTTTATGCTTCATGGTTTTAGCTGACACTCTCTCTGTTATCCTTCTAGGCAGTTTATAAAGATGAACCCAGAGTATCCACAGTTATTTCAAATTTAATTACATCTATTTTGAACACTTCTGCTACAAATAAACTCTCTATTCAGCTCTTTGGGAAAGATTTTTTTTAGGTGCAATGCCCGAAGGTCTTAGACAACCATAGTTCCCCTGCTTGTGGTGTAAAATGGCAGTATCATCTTGTTAACTAAAGACAACAGGTTTGTCCTGCATATACAATATGCCAGATTTTTTTTCCAAACTATTCCACAAAGAAGCCACTTAGTAGATTGAAAAGATAACAGGTTTTGGAGTTGGTCAGATGGAGATAAAGTTTGATTTCACCACTTCCTAAAATGTAACTTTTTTGATCTTCAGTTTCTTTGATTATAAAGTATCCAAAAAAGGGGGGAAAGTATTCCTGCAGAAGGTTACTATGAAGAGTTAACATTAATGCTGCCAAGTGCCTAGCACAGTATACAGTGTGGAACACAAATAACCTGCTCTTTTACTGCTTTGATTATATAGTAGACAGTGAGTAAATATTACCACCCTGAAGCCTCTCACAGAGCGTTAAAAAAGATGAGTTAAAATTCACCCATAAGAAGCTTTTGTAGATTAATCTCAACTATTCTGACCATACCCTTTCTGAGCTCCTATTAACATTTGCACAGTCATATGTTTTTCAAAAATTTTTTCAGATAAGTAACTTCTACTTCAAATTATAGACTCTAATAACATGGTAATTACTCAAAAACATCTTTTATAATGCCTATTTAAGGAAGAGTTTTCAGAATATACACCTCTTTCTGTCATAAACATTAGCAACAGAATGAATGCTGGTCTTTTGCAGATGGTCACATGACAAATACTAGGCCTAAATATGGTTAATAACTTTATCTAAATTTCTTAGATGTATTTTCCCACACGTACTGAGGATATTATGTGTGTGTGTGTGTGTGTGTGTGTGTATTCTCCTTAATAGTAATAAGCCATCATTTTCATTACAAAGTTTGTGGTTTTGGGGGGAAGCTGAAAGTCATTTCAAGATATACTGATGGATAAGGTGGTTTCAAAATATGCCAGTTTTATTGGGGAGGAAGGACAAAATAAAACAATAAAACAGAATACAACAAAAGAGGAGATGAAATTTAAATATTAAGAAACAGCTTTTTCTTTTATGACCCAGAAACTGGCTTTGAAGGTAATTCTAAAATGTTTTGGGCCCAACAGCCTCTAAGAGTGCCCATTTTGAAAGATAACAATCATGTATGTGTATATTTGACTTAAAAAATAGATTCCTTCTTTATTTACAACTGGACTAAAGATCTCATTTTATGAACATGATTTCTATGCTCAAAACAAAGAACATAGAAACACAAAAGAAGGTCTGTCAGGAAAGATCTTTTTTCAGTGAAGTGAAAGTCACTCAGTCGTGTCCCACTCTTTGCAATCCCATGGAGTGTAGCCCACCAGGCTTCTCTGTCCACAGGATTTTCCGTCCACAGGACTTTCCGTCCACAGGATTTTCCGGGCAAGAGTACTGGAGCCGGTTTCATCCCCAGCAGCCGGTTTCTCTGGGGATCTTCCTGATACAGGGATTGAACCCTGGTCTCCTGCATTGCAGGCAGATTCTTTACCATCTCAGCCACCAGGGAAGCCCTCTTTTTCAGTCCTCGAGCCAATCATCCAACATTGCATATTTCAAATCAGTGTTGTTTTTTTCCCCTACTTTTTGGACAAGTGTATTTTGACAAATACATTGCTGGGCTGTGTCCATAAGTTTTGATGTAAATATCATTTAACGACTTAATGAAACAATACTTTTAATTTGTGTGATAAAGTCAGATATTTTCTTGGCTGCGGTTACCTATTTTGCGACTTCTGAAATTGATTTCACCTCCGGCAAACAGGTCGCTTCCTAGAGTCTGAAATCTGGTCGTGCCTGCCAGGCTCCAGGGTTAGCTTGCCTCTAATTGATGCTTTTGAATTGTAGTGTTGGAGAAGACTCTTGAGAGTCTCTTGGGCTGCAAGGAGATCCAACCAGTTCACCCTAAAGGAAATCAGTCCTGAATATTCAATGGAAGGACTGATGCTGAAGCAGAAGCTCCAGTACTTTGGCAACCTAATGTGAAGAACTGACTCATTGGAAAAGACCCTGATGCTGGGAATGATTGAAGGCGGGAGGAGAAGGGGACGACAGAGGATGAGATGGTTGGATGGCATCAGCGACTCAATGGACATGAGTTTGTGTAAACTCCGGGAGTTGGTGATGGACAAGGAGGCCTGGAGTGCTGCAGTCCATGGGGTCGCAAAGAGTCGGACACGACTGAGCGACAGAACTGAACTGAACCGAACCCATCCTTTCCAGATCGCCAGCTTCCCGCGGCTTTTGGTAACCTAGCAACCAGGTCGACACTTCCGGAACACCGTGGCGCCGCGATCCAATCAGCTCTGCAGAGTCGCCGCTGAGGCTGACGGGACACCGGAGACCGCCTGGCCGCCGGCGTCTGTACCATGGCGACGGGCGGCCGCGGGCCTGTGGTGGCGATGGCCACTGGGTCCATCCTGTCGGCTGCGAGTGTGACTCTGTTCCTCTTGCTGGTGCTCCCTCGCGTCTCACAAGCTCAGACCTTCTTTCTTCCTTTCCGGCAGCCGGAGACGTGCGGCCACAACCAATACTTCGATATCTCGGCGCTCTCCTGTGTGGCGTGTGGTGCCAATCAGAGGCAGGATGCCCGAGGTGAGAAGGCTCGGGACGGGCCCTGGCCGAAGGAACAGTCCCCGCTTGGTGCCGTGCCCAGATCCCGGCGTCGCTGAAACATCTTTTTCTTTTTCTTTTTACCCCTGCGGAAAGAATGTTTCAGAAAGGTTAACTGCCAGCGCCTCAGAGGAGGGTCTCCTCGGAGGATTGAAGCTTAAACACACAACGAATGAGGTTGGGGAAACCTTGAGTCCGCTACCCTGAAGGTCTCGTAATGAATTTCTTGTCTCCAGGCCCCTACCCCTCATCAGGGGGCCTTTAGGGAGGCCTCTGGAAAGCTGACTACGGAAGAAAGAGAAATGAAGTAATCTTTAGGGTCGCAGAGAGTCGGACACGACTAAGTGAACCACCACCAGGATAATCTGAGGTGCTAAGAGCAGGTGACAGGACCTGTTTGGGAGGGAATGCAAATTAGCGCTTGGAAACTTTGGTAGTTGTTTGTTTGTTTGTTTAATCTTCAATCCAGAAATGTAGAGCTGGTTGGGACCTTAACCATTTATGGTCCAGCCTTCTTATTTTAGGGATAAAGAAATGGAAGTCTGGATGAGGTCGTCAAGCCTTCTTTGTCCTGTAAATTGGAGACTGGAAGAACTCGTTCCTCTTTGCCGTCTGTCTTTTGTGTTTCCGCTATACAAAATGTCCATAATAGTATAGATTTCCGTAGGACTTAGCCCTTTCTTTGTTGAATATTACTTATTCCCTCCAAAGTCTCTTTAGATTAAACTTTTTTTTTTCTTGAGATGTTCGTCATTTGGTCCTAGTTGTCCTCTGAAGCTGCTCAGGATAAGATTTTTCCCATATTCTAAAGTCTAGGATGTTTTTAATCTCAATTTGGTCACCCATGGTATTAACTTTCTGCCATCTTGAAATTTGATTTAAGTCATTGTGTAGGACAAGTCAGGCTTCTCAGGTGAGGAAGTAAGAAGAAAGCATTCCCAGACTCATTCTATAAAGTGTAAGGTTCATAGTCATGCACCCTGATATCATAAGTATTCTACTACATGTATTCCTATTAAGTGTCCACTTAATGCCTTCTTAGAGAATACTGTCCTCTCCAGCAAGTTGAATAGTGATTATCTTATAAAGTTTACTTTAATCTTTCCAAACAGAGGAAAACAGTGATTTATTTGAATCAAGATAACTTTCCTAATAAGATTTTGTTTTGACAGAATTTGAACTCAGTGAGTATATGTGTCTGGTTGGGTGAAATAGACTTGTAAAATCTCCCATAGCGGTTAGTCAGTAGTTTTGTTGTTAGTTTAATATTTATAATTTAATAACTTATTTATGCTTGCACTTAAAATTGTAGCAAACACAATACCTAGTGTATGCCAGACACATTGTAAGATGTAAATAGAGCACTTTCTATATGCTTATAATGACTAATTTAGTACTCATATTAACCACATAAGGTAGGTACTGTTCCCATTTTACCTAATTCGAAGCAAAGACACAGAACAGTTCCTTGCCCAGGGTCACAAAACTAAGTGGCAGAATCAATATTAAAACCCAGGCAATACTGGCTCCACTGTCTTGCTCTTAGGACCTGCTTCTCAAGATCTTAAGAGTTATTAAAATTTTCCTATCTTGGAATTTTATTTATCAAGGTCAAAACTGGCTCTTCTTTTTAGGAACTTCCTGTGTGTGTCTACCAGGATTTCAGATGATCTCTAATAATGGAGGACCTGATATTATTTGTAAAAAGTGCCCAGAACACATGGTATGGAGTATTTATTATTTTTTTAATCTTACTGTAAAAAATAGCAAATATCATTTTTTAAACTGCAGTTTAATGCTGTACTCTAATATTTTCCCACAGACTTTAATATTATTAAGCCAGCTTTGTTTTTACTAAACTGTGGGAGATCAGTGAAATTTTGCAAACTTGGAAAAAAACAGAAAGGTATTTTTAAAATCTGAAATTAAAAAAAAAAAGCTATAATTTGTCTTTATTTCTATTTCATAGAGAAACTGATTTATAAAGGAAAATAGATGAATGAATGATATCTACCGAGTAAATATAATGTCAACAGTTTTATATAATGATTCATGTTCATAATGACATCTGAGTGATAAGTTCATCAAATGCCTATTTCATCACTAAATAGATTAAATAATATCTGATGCTGTTTTATTAATCATTTCATTATATCATAATTTTTGGAAAATTAGTGTATTAATAGTAACTATATATGATGATTCTTGATTAACAGAAATGTATCTTCCAATCATTTTGAATAATTAAGAGTCTTAGTGTGGCAGTTCTAACTTTCATAGTAATGTTTCTTCACATTTTTGTTTTAAAATACAATGTTATCTCTTCTCATTATTGTATTTAAAAAAAATTTAATCTGGGAATTTAATATTTACCATTTGTCCTGATTTATGACTAGTACTTATAGGTTTGATGATCATTTTTATACTTTATATTTTTGGAAATAGTGACCCTAGCTGAATTATGATGAGAAAAAGGTACTAATATGAAATGGTGCCAAAGCAGACTAATTTTTCAGTGATGTTACTAAGCTAGTGGGGCTTCCCTGATGGCTCAAGTGGTAAAAACCCACCTACAATACAGGAGACACAGGAGATGCAGGTTCTATCCCTGGGCCGGGAAGATCCCCTGGAGTAAGAAATGGAAACCCTCTCCAGTATTCTTGCCTGGAAAATCCCATGGACGGAGGAGCCTGGTGGACTACAGTCCATTGGGTCACAAAGAATCACATATGACGAAGCACACACACACACAACTAAGCTATCATACTTTTTAAATAGCCCTATATGTGTAAATGTATCAAATACAGGGGCATTTCTTGATATATCCATTCTTTTTGGCCAAAACTTAACACAATTTGTGTCATTGTTTTATTATTACCATTGTTTTCTATTTATTTTGTTTATATCCATGTTTGTATTAAAATTACTGTATTTTTACCACAGGTTTTTTTCTAAATCATATAAATTCAGTTTTGGATGGTGTCATATTTTATCAGAAATCTTTACCAGTACAAACTATTAGTGGATTAAAAAAGATCTCATAATTTAAACAAGTTTAGGTATATTTATTTACCATAAGATTCATCCATTTTGGATTATAACTTAATTGCTGAAAGCTAATGTATTTGAATTTTTAAAAATTAGAATAATTATTTTAGAACAGGTAAGGCTAAACTATTAATTGGCTGTTTGTTGATTCAATACCATTGAATTTTGTTGCATTTTATCTTGGTAAATTGAAAAACTGGATGACCATATTAATCATGGTAATAAAAGCTCATTTGAATTGAAAATCACAAAGAACTATTGCCTTTACTTCTTAGTAGTTAATAGTAGTCAGTACATAATAATAATGTGTAGCGTAATGTTTGAATATAAGCACAAATTGTCTTTCCAGGAAATTTTTATGTAGCTCATATGTGTATAATTTATTTACATATTGCCTACAAATTATACCTTATTGTGACTTTTTAAACTCACGTGATCATTTTAAGAAGGAGAACATTAATTAAAGAAAGGGGAAATAATTTGTTTTTTTTTTTTAATTTAGAAAGGTGTTACTGAAGATGGCTGGAACTGTATTTCTTGCCCTGGTGGTTTAACTGCAGAAGGAAAATGCCACTGTCCCACTGGCCATATTTTAGGTGAGAAGTAGAGTCTAGAATGTGTCCTCTAGACTCTTTTTTTTTTTCTTTCTGTTTTTAATGTATGCATTGTACTTTGTATACATTGTAACCACAGGAAATATAAGTAGTATTTTTTATGTAGCTATTTCATAAGCTGTTCTCTAGCATATTCCTTTCAGTTAATGGTATGATCTACCTCATTCTTTTTAATCCACTCCATGGTGTTTTATAACTTTTTGCTGTTTTAAATATTTAGATTGTTTTCAAACTAGTAATGTTTTGATGAATATTTTTATGTACATAGTCAAGTGTTTCTGTAGGTTAGGTATCTAAAAATGAAGTTTTAGTATTATGTATTATAGAGTATGTGAATTTACAGTTTTAATACATACCACCAAAAGCCCTCTCAAGATGAGAAACTTACCAGAAGTCTGTGAAAATACTTGCTTCCCCAAACTTAGTGTAACAGGAATATGCAGGTAAGAGGAAAGAAAATTTTTAAGGAAAATATATTAATTTATTATGATGATGATAATTTGGAAATTTCTGTATTTTTTTTTTTTAATGTGGGAATGGGGAAGGCTTCACTTTTCAAACTTTATGTAAAGTATTGACATGTTTTGTTCTAACAAGGTGTTTTGAGAATTATTAGAATAATTACAAGTGGGTTTTACTAAGTGTATAGAAGCTTGTATATTGATTATGAATTATGTCTTATTGTCTCTAAATTGTTTAGTGGAAAGAAATATTTTAGCTATTTTTGTTTTATTATTGATGTTATGTAACTTGTACATAATCTATAATATATAGTATATAATAATAACTTATTTGCAATCCACTTAGTATTTTCTAGGTACTATATTTATATATATTATTGATTTTATCTATACCGTGCCTTATAATACAGAGTAGTGTATACTTCAGATATGTTTACTTTATTGCAAGTAATTACTTAGTTGAATAGCCTATTCTAATCTATAAAGTTAGAAAGACAAGCTCTCAATTAAATTAGAGCTAGCATAATTCATTAACGTTTTAAAAATAATTTTTGTTGTATTGACAGGTGTGTCCGATGTGAACCAACATTCATTAATACCAACAGGTCCTGTGCATGTTCAGAACCTAACATTTTAGTAAGGCTTATTACATTGATAATGTATATATTTTTAAGTTGAATTGCTGATATTCTTACATAAACTTTTTTTTTTCTTATTTATTTATGAAGACAGGGGGATTATGTTTCAGCAGCACAGGGAATTTTCCTCTACGTATGATTTCAACTGCACGTTATGGAGAGCTTGTGAGTATGCTTCAGTTTTTTTGTTCTACTGTTAAGGATATTTCTGCTTTTCTTCCTTTGGTAATTTGGGGCTAAAATAAGCTCAGTCCATTGTTCCTCACATTTTCATAGGTTTGGCCATTAGAAGCCGTTTGAGTTTGTTCCTATGTCTTTTGGACATAACTGTATCTTTCTTGGAGCATTTCCTGTCTGGCACAACAAGATTTCCAGGCTTATCTTATACTTTTCCTGCTTCGGTCCTGGAAACAACTATTTCTCTAAGAAGCTCTTAAGGATAATATTTAGAAACAAAGATTACCATGCTTAGTATGCCTTCATTAGCAGGCATAGCTAGAAAATATATACACACATTATGTGTAAACATGTGTGTGAGTGTGTGCTCAGTTGCTCAGTCGTGTCTGACTCTTTGCGACCCCATGGACTTAAGCCCACCAGGTTCCTCTGTTCATGGAATTTTCCAAGCAAGAATACTGGATTGGATTGCCATTTCTTACGCCAGGGGATCTTCCTGACCTAGGAATTGAACCCACTGCTCTTGTGTCTGCCACATTGGCAGGCGGATTCTTTATCACTGCACCACCTGGGAAGACCATGCATATGCATACACACATCTATAACTATTTCTTTGTTTATCTTATTGTTTTATGTAATTTCTAAGAGAGACATCCAATCCTCTGTAGTAATATATCAGACAAGCAATAAAGAATTTCCAAATATTTGAGTCAGTGTCTTCACATTCCCTTTCCCCAAAGACCATGAGCTTACATCTTGGTTTGCTTTCCCAACTTTAATTTTGAAAAATTTTTATTGCAGAAAAGTTAAAAAAGAAAAAAAAAAAACAATGACTGTGCGTGTATCTTTTACTAGTTTAACCAATTATTAGTGTTTCGCCACATTTGCTTTCTCTCTCTCTGTGAATGTCAACATGCACATGTACACATACATTCGTATTTTTTTCTGAACCACTTGAAAATAAGTTGTAGCTGTGTAATGTTTTACTCCTCAATATTTTGTAGCTCCTAAGGAAAATGGCATTTTTCTGACATCACACCTCAAAAGATTAATAGAATTATTTGATATACTGTTCATATACAAATTTGCCTACTTGTTTAAATAAAGTTTTTTATCCCTGCCCACTTTTTTGGCAAAGGGACCCAGGATCAGCAAAAGATCCCACATTGAAATTAAATCTCTCTAGTCCCCTTTAATTTAGAATAGAGATTCTTATCCTGTTTTGCTTTTTGAATTTTTTTTTTTCTTTTATGGTCACTGACTCTTGCAGAGTCAGGGCCAGCTTTCTTGTAGAGCATCCCAGAGTCTTCATTTTTCTCATGTTTTTCTTATGATTAGACTCTGTGAAACATGTTTTTGGAAAAATATGACATGGGTACTGTGTATAGCCCATTGTATCATAACATGGAGCGCATAATGTCAGAATATCCAGTTATTGGTGATGCTAACTTTGACTGCCTAGTCATGGTGCTGTCTGCCATTTCTCTCCCTTGTAAAAGTACTGTGACTAATAAGTTAATCTGAGATTTTACTTTGAGACCATGTGCATATCCTTTTTAGCAGTCATTGATGAACCTTATCTGAATTAGTTATTAAATTGTTATATCAAAATGGTTTCACAATTTTATTGTTCCTTTTTATATTTTTAAGTTGACACTTGCTCTTTTTTTCTCTTTAGCTTTACTGCAAACCCTTGGTATCATGAATATGTTATGAATTGTCACTGTTATTCTTCTTTTCAAAGTGTGGTTGGGTTCAGTTCAGTTGCTCAGTCGTGTCCGACTTTTTGCAACCCCATGGACTGCAGCACGCCAGGCCTCCCTGTCCATCACCAGCGCCCAGAGTTTACTCAAACTCATATCCATTGAGTCGGTGATGCCATCCAACCATCTCATCCTCTGTCATCCCCTTCTCCTGCCTTCAGTCTTTCCCAGCATCAGGGTCTTTTCCAATGAGTCAGTTCTTTGCGTCAGGTGGCCAAAGTATTGGAGCTTGCACTTGAGCATCAGTCCTTCCAGTGAATATTCAGAACTGATTTCCTTTAGGATTGATTGGTTTGATGTCCTTGCAGTCCAAGGGACTCTCAAGAGTCTTCTCCAACACCACGGTTCAAAAGCATCAATTCTTCGGTAGTCAGCTTTCCTTGTAGTCCAACTCTCACATCCATACATNCAGGTGGTCTGGTAGTCCCAATTCTTGAAGAATTTTCCACAGTTTGTTGTGATCCATACAGTCAAAGGCTTTGGCATAGTCAATAAAGCAGAAACAGATGTTTGTCTGGAACTCTCTTGCTTTTTTGATGATCCAGCAGACGTTGGCAATTTGATCTCTGGTTCCTCTGCTTTTTCTAAATCCGGCTTGAACATCTGGAATTTCATGGTTCATGTACTGTTGAAGCCTGGCTTGGAGAATTTTTGAGCATTACTTTGCTAGTGTGTGAGATGAGTGCTATTGTGTAGTAGTTTGAACGTTGTTTGGCATTGCCTTTCTTTGGGATTGGAATGAAAACGGACCTTTTCCAGTCCTGTGGACACTAATGAGATTTCCAGATTTGCTCAGCAGTGGTCAAATTTTTTTTTTTTTTTAGTGGCCAAATTTTGAAAGCTCAAATTGTCCCAAATTTGGACTTCCCTTTGGTATAGCTCCTGTGTTATTTTAACATGTCTCCTTCAGTCTTCAGGCACTACCTTGGTTTCTCTATACCATGTTCCAGTCTCAACCAATAATTATAATTTTAAATTGTCACATAATACTCTAGTTTATGCATTAAGATTCATGTAATTGTATGTCTATTAAATATTTAGGTTTTTTGTTATTAATAATAATTGCTGTCAACCATCTTATGCCCATAGATGTGTTTTTCCTTTTGGAGAGATTATTGACTTAAGGCACATGTCCTAAGTGTTTCTAAATTCATGGGTTAAAGTATGTGGATATTGTTTTATAAAGGATCATGCAACTTTATCCCTGGCATTTGTCTGTGGCTTCATTTTACATGCATTTGCCAATACTGTTGTCAATACTTTCCATTTTTACTAGGTTTTTTTGTGTGTGTTAGCCAACATTCTACACATATGTTTTTTTCTTAAAACATGAGAATTTTTGCTTATTGAAGAGATGAAAATGGTGACTCATAATAATTTTATTTTAGATTTCTTGAACAGTTATGGTGCCATATTTCATATAATTTGGTTTTATCACCTTTGTTCATGTTCAGAGAATTTACTACAGATGGTGTTTCTCAGTGTCTCATTTTTTAGCAGGATATGCAGATGAGCTTTAGAGCAGTGGTTCTTAACTAGAGGGAGGCCTGTTATCTGCAGTTTTCAGAGGATGTGTGTGCCTTGTCTCATTCTAGAGATTCTGATTTATTTGGTTTAGAATGAAGCCAGGCATTTTCTGTTTTCAGGAAATTCCACAGTTGATTCTGATATTCTGGTGTTTGAGAATCGCCACTTTGGAGATTTTAAATGTTAGTTTCTCTGTGTATCCCCAATCTCCTGTTGCTTAGAAATCATTCACAAATAATTTCTTTTTTATTACTTGCAATTTAATACAGTGTAATAATCCGAAATCACCAAATATTAACCAACTCTAAGTCAAGATCTAGTTTTTCTTTTATTCTTTTGCACTTTGATTTTCATTTTAGTGAAATGGGCATAATAGTTTTTTTTCTTATTATTATAAACATACGTTATTTCCTTGTATCTTTTGTCTGAGCAATGTGATTTTGTAATTCAGTCCTACTTACAATTACTGACATTGGTTGGAATTAATTCTTTTCTTCTTATTCGAATCTATTTTTCTGATAACACTGGAAAGGTAATATTAGTTATTTCCCACTCAGCAATGTGCACAGTAATGTTTTCCTAATAGTGTAGAGTTAAGAAATTTCTATTTAAACGTAAAACTAACATTCATCTTTTTGTTTACAGGGCATATCTTTCACTTCAGAATGGTTTGCAAAGTATTTGCAGTCATCAGCAGCTGCTTGTTGGGTATGTTTGAATTTCTAGAAAGTAGTTTTTATTTCATTTCAAAAGAGACTGTGGTACCATTTTTTTCCCCAGTTAATAAAACTTTTCTAAGTAGATATGTCTCCTTGGTCATATTCTATTAAAACCCTTTCTAAGTGAACTGAAAGAGACTAATAAAGAAAATGTTATTCATTTCACATTTATTATACATAAATTAAATATGTCCAAACTTCCTTAGCTGAAATTGAATGTTAGGGGAGACTAATTCATACTATCATTTAGTAAATGTTTGTTGATGACCTACTGTATGTCAGGCCCTGTTCTGAAATCTTTTCAGTTATCTATTTTAGGAAAAGACAGAAAAATCCCTTGTGGAATTATAAGTAATTATGAGGTGATGCCAAGTGCTATAAAGACAAGCAAATCGGGATAAAGAGCATAGAGAGTAGAAGTGGTCCTAACTTATGGAGGGTGGTCAGGACAGGCGTCTCTGAGAATATGATATTTGATCAAAGACTTGGAAGTGGAAGTGAGCCATGAAAATATCTAGGGGAAGAGAATTCTAAGCAGAGACCACAGCAGGTGCAGAGGTCCCAAAGCAGGGGTTCTCTGGCATGTTCATGCTAAAGAAACAGGAGGGAGACCTAAGTGGCCAGAGCAGTGAGCAGGGAAAGTGGAGAAGTGAGTTCAAGGATGAAGGGGGTAACTGTGAGACCTGGAGTTTACTGGAAGGGATGTAGAGGATTTTGTGCAAAAGGAAGACAGTGGTCGGCCTCAGGTTTTGAAAAAGATCATTCTAACATGGAAAGTAGGTTTTGTTGGGGCAAAAACAAGCAGGGGGACCAACTAGGAGGTTACTAGAGTGATCCAAGTGAGAGGAAATGGGCCTTTGGACAAGGGTGGTGCCATGCAAGTGAAAGATGTGTTTAGCTTCTGGATATATACATTTAAAATTGAGCCAACCAGACTTAGCGATGAATGGGATATGAGAAGGGAGGGAAGATTCCTGCAATGATTTTTATTTGAATAACTGTAAAAATGAAGTGGTCTTTTCCTGAAAGGGAAAATTTAGAAAGAAGTTTGAGGGTCACACTCAACAGATGATATTTTGTTGTTCATAAAACAAATTGCTTAAAATAGATTAGATTTATATACAATAGATATAAAATAGATTAAATAAAATATAAGTAGGTTAGATTTCTATTCTAATATTAGGAACCAATTACTATTATTTCAAATATAATTATTTCATGTAATAGTTTTTTTAAATGTCATGCTGTAAGTTTTTAGTTCTTCTTTCAGTTGCTTGTCTTTATATCTTCACCTAAAATTTCAGGTAAAATTTATAAATTATTAACCTGCCATATGGAAAGTTCTTTTCTACTTTAATTAGAGGAAAGGTATTAAAAGCAAAAGAATATCCAAAAAAAGAATTTGCAGAATTCAGTTTCTAAGCATAATTAAATTAAAACTAAGCATAGTTTTTGTATGAACTTTTGTTTAGGATATTAAAGTCCATATATTTCTTTGTCATTGTTTTCCTGTAGGTGTATGGCAATCTAACATCTTGCCAAGCACTTGGAAATATCTGTGTAATGAACATGAATTCTTATGACTCCTCTACTTTTGATGCATGTGGATTGTTTCAGGTTATCTTTGAAAATACTGCTGCACTGGGCACTGTTCATTCTGTTTCCTTTTGGTAAGGTTATTCTAATTAATGAACCATCATTTTGACCAAATTCGGTGCAGTTACTTTCACAAATATGTACTAAGACCGTTCCCCCTTTATTAAAACAATTGTGATTGTTTGTAGGAGACAGAATCTTCCATGGCTGTTCTATGGAGACCAGCTAGGATTAGCACCTCAAATACTTAGTACTACACCTCTTCCTACAAATTTCAGTTTTAAAGGGGAAAACCAGGTACAAATCTCTATATTGTTGAAGGTTAACTACATTTTGATTTATAATTTTGAAAGGTAATAAGAATATTACTAGACATAATTCTTGATAGATTTTTAAAGTTTTAATGACTAAATTAAATCTAGATATCAGCTGCTGAGGAACTAAACAGTATCGAGTTTGGTTTTCTTCCTTGAGAGTGTGGATGCCTCTGGATTGTGTGTTATGGTGGCAGTACTTGTGGGTTGGGAAGGTTGTCATCACCAAACGCAAAGCCTTCTCTGTCCTAGATCTCCACATTCTTAAAAAGGGCTGCCAAAGATTGAGTGGGATTCTATGCGTTTCCTCAGCATGTCACAGGTCCAAATGCTTACCTTCATTTTTTTGACCTTCTAGAATGAAAGAATAGATTATTTCCTCCTCTATTCATCCCCCATTCACGTACACACACACTCATTTAACAGGTTTGAAAAGAAGTTATCTGTCACTGCCTCTCAATTCTGAAGTAATAGTTTTTGTGCAAAAACCCAGTCCATTTATATTAAGCGTGTTTAATCAGAGAGATATACTGATTAATTTTGCCTCAAAGTAATGATCGATGAATTCAGTATTTGATCTCTAGAAAAAGAAAAGATCAATTGGCAATGAAAAAATTTATATAGACTATTATATATACTCTGAAAGTCTAAACTCTGAAAGTTTTTATAGACCATTATATATATTTATAGACTTTCAGAGTACATGACATTATTTTATTCTTGTTTTTCTTTAAGCAGAATACAAAACTGAAGTTTGTTGCTGCTTCCTATGATGTGAGAGGAAATTTTCTCAAGTGGCAAACTTTAGAAGGAGGAGTTTTACAGGTGAATATGATTCTAGAGAGAATCCCTAACGTGTCTTGTTTTTGACTGAGGTGAAGATGAGGAAAAAACTAGATTATCGCTTGAATAGAGCGTCAGTTTGCTTACTAGAGTTGATTTTTCTTGTTTTGTTTTAAATTGGAATTTCTTAAAACTACTTTTAAGTTATAACAGATACCCCCTTAACTTTTCACTCCCTTGATAACCTTAAATAAGTAAAGTATAATATATAAAGTATATATCCATGTTAAGTCTTGAGAACCCTTGACTATAAGCAAAGAAAAGATTCATGAGAGATGTTTATCAGTTGTGTTCTTTTGTTGTAGCTTTGTCCAGACACAGAGACAAGACTAAATGCTGCTTATTCTTTTGGAACAACCTATCAACAAAGTGTAAGTTGGAACTATTTTAGACAGTCTACATTTTGGCTTCGTTTTTCACATCAGCAATAATTGGAATAATTATTGAATTTTTGAAATTAGTAATTTTTTGTGAAAAGAAAGTGAAAGTGAAGTTGTTCAGTTGTGTCTGATTCTTTGCAACCCCATGGACTGTAGCCCACCAGGCTCCTCCATCCATGGAATTTTCTAGGCAAGAGTACTAGAGTGGGTTGCCATTTCCTTCTCCAGGGCATCTTCCTGACCCAAGCATCAAACCTGGGTCTCCCACATTGCGGGCTAATGAATAATTTATGGATGATTTTTATTAATATAATCAGCATGAAAACAGTACCTTGTCATCCATAGAGTCTTAAACATCATAATTGTGTATTTGCTTCTGGCATATAGGTCTTAAAAATAATCTCCACTTTTGAGGATTTTAGAATGAAGTAGAAGTACTTCATTTTTAATAAACAATAAAGTGTTATCACTGCCTCCTCCCCCCACCCTCCAGTAACAAAATGGTTCCTTTTCTCTCCCTCCGTGCTCACCTCCCTCCCTCCCTGACCTTCCTTCCTTTGGTAGTGCATTTTAAAACTACAGTATGGGACAAAGCAACATTATGAGCCGTTAAACATTTGAAAGACCTTCAATAGTCTACAAAAATACTTCTTGATAAAATGCATGTACACACACCACAGAACAAAACTGTGATTCCAGCTTTGTTAAAATAACAAAAAGCACCATTGGGGAAAACAGATGAGAAAAAGAAACATTTTTAACAGTGGTTATCTCTGGATGGTGGGATTACAGGTTATTTTCTTTCTTTTTCATATTTCCTATCATGAACTTGAATTTGCTTTTATTATCAGAAATGACTTCTGTGTTACTTTAAAAAACTGTTGTGTGTCTACTTTGGGCCAGAATAATCAATACTTGTTAAATGCCCACTGCTCTGTCCTCAGCATTTTATCATTTTTATCTCATCTGATCCATGAAATAGCTTTGTAAAATACATACTAGTTGTGTTTTATGGATGAGGAATTGTTGCTCAATAAGATTAGGTAACTTGTTGAAATTCTTTCATCAAGTAAATGTTCTGTTAGGCTTTAACCGTGTTTTTTTCCATCAAACCCAGTTGCCTCTCAGGGAGTTCACAGCCTAGTAAAGAAAACAGCTATATAGACAAAGAATTGAAAAGAATGTGATGTGTTGGGCTATAGATATGAACAAGGAACCATGTTGGTCCAAAGAAGGGTCCTTAACGGTTCCTAGGGAAGTTCAGAAAGGCTTTACACAGTAAGTGACACTTGAGCCTGCAGAATGAATATGAGTTTACCAGGGAGCACAGTAGGGAAGGGAATACCAGGCAGGAATACCATTTGCAGTGTCAGAGAGATGTCGAATAGCATAGCATATTTAGGGACTATAAGTAGGTTAGTGTGACTGAACCACAGACAAAGAGAAAGCAGTGGGAGATAAACCTGACACTATTAAGGGGAGTCACATCATAAACAGTGTATATCAGGAGAAAGAGTTGGGACCTCACCCCACAGGATAGGAGTTTTTAAACCTTTTTATTGCTGTACAGTTACAGTTGAGAATGAATATACAGCCTCTCCAGCTGGGTTGTAGGACAAGATTCAGGTGGTTCTTTACTGTTAGTTATTTTGGCCCTTATAAAAGAGTCATAGATAGTATTCATGTTTTAAAAGACGTATGAAAATGTGTATAAACAGTATAGTTGGAAGATACTTTCTTTTACAATGACAAATCTTTTAAAGATAATAAATATGCTTTCTAACTTTCAATTTGGGTACTTTTAATATTATTTTTCAGTGTGAGATTCCTATCCCTAAGATCTTAACTGACTTTCCTAATCCTACATTTTATGATGTGTACCTTGAATATACTGATGAGAATCAGCACCAATATATCTGGGCTGTGCCTGTGTTAAACTTAAATCTTCAGTACAAGAAAATGTTTGTGAACCAAGGTAAGGCGTCTATACACACCACTCTTTCTCTGAGCTGAAATCAATAAATAAGTCAACCAACATAGCTTAATAAACCACAGATTATAAGAAAAGTCATGGATTCTCTATGATTGTAAGCTTGTTTGTTTTTTTAAAATATTTATCTATTTGACTGCACCAGGTCTTAGTTGCAGCATGTGGGATCTAGTTCCCTGACCATGGATTGAACCTGGGCCCCCTGCCTTGGGAGCACGGTGTCTTAGCCACTGGACCACCAGGGAAGTCCCTGATTGTAAGGTCTTATATAGCATGCCCCACAGTAAAACAGTAAGGTTGTTGATATATTTACTCAATGTGCTTAGTCACTCAGTCATATCAGACTGTTTGCGATGCCATGGGCTGTAGCCTGCCAGTCTCCTCTGTCCATGGGATTCTCCAAGCAAGAATACTGAAGTGGGTTGCCCTTCCTTTTTCCAGGGGATCTTCCCTACCCAGGGATCAAATCCAGGTCTCCTGCATTGCAGGCAGATTCTTTACTGTCTAAACCACTGGGGAAGCCTTATTTACTAAATATATCAGGCTTTTTATTAAGAAATTTTATCATTCCTGAAAGTTTTTTCCTGAGAAAAACAGTAGAACTGTAAAATCAGGGCTTCTTCAAACCATTGAGCTGCTTTTTGGACAAATTAGTTTCTTTTGTTGTTTTTCATTTTATAAAATCCTATTTATTCAGGTAATTTGCAGGGAAAATCCTTCCAAACTGATGAAAAGTCCAAACAATCAGAAAACATTCAAGTGCGGTGGGGAAGGCTGTTACTAGGAATTTCTTACAGCGGGAGTTGTTTTTGCAGCCATCTTTTTAAAAGAAAGTGTACTAATTTTATGTTTTAAAATTGTCCAGTAATCTTCACTTTAAGTGCCACCTTGAACAATTCAAAGTATTTTTTTAAACCCATCTTTTTTTTTTTTTTAATAAAAGACAGTAGTTCGGGCAAGTGGCTTCTGACTCGGCGCATTTTCTTAGTGGATGCATTAAGTGGACGGGAAAATGACTTAGGAAGCCAGCCAAGATTAATTAGAGTCGCTACCCAAATATCACTGAGGTAAACAAACGTCTAATTTACTGAATGAGGCTTGGACTATGTGGGAAAATGTCATAGTGAAAGTGTTGTAATTATCAGATTAAAACAGTAAGAACACCTCAACTGGAATGATACATAATGTGTTCTCAGATGTCTATATAGATTGGGATAGACTAATAGAGGGGATAATTACTTCAGAAGGGCTTAAAGAGTTTGCCAAAATTCGTATCCTAAGCCCCACTCTAGACTTGCCAAGTTAGAGTGAGTTGAGAGTGGGGAGCAGTGAAGATCAGCAGGCTGACACGGGTGTGTTAGAGCCTGCCAGATGATTGCAGCAGGCGGGCCTCCTGTGGCTCCATCTCCTTCAGCACCCACTGCTCTAGGTTGGCCCTCATTAGTTATCAACACCTCACTCTTCCTCAGATACTTTGATGATGGCCCTGCCTTAGTGCCATGCAGCCCTCACTATCTCTCCTCCGCTGTGAGATTCCTGTCTCTAACCTTAGCCGGCTTTTCTACTCTAGTATCTTATGATGTGCACCTTGAATCCACTGATGAAAGCCAACGCCATCATCTTTATGGCATTTCAACATGCACTACTTTTTCACTGTTTTTTCATTTTGATTTTCACGATAACCTTGCATGAGGTAGGCAGTACAGAAGCTTTGTCATATACCTTTCTGAAATCTACCTGTACTGTTTTTAGCATTCCCTCAATCTGCCAATGTAGATTCCCCAATGTAGTGAAAATGAAGTTGAAACTAGTCAGGCCTGACTTTATTTTGATGAAACCATGTTGGCCACTGGTACTTGGCATTTTCCTTTCTGAGTTTACAAACGATATGTTACTAATGTGTTGAATTCAGCAAAACGTACCCTATTATGTGCCATAGATAGTACTAGATGTGCCACGTTATCTTTGTTTAAGAATTCATCTTTTTTTAATATTTATTTTTATTTTATTTATTTATTTGGCTGTGCCAGATCTTAGTTGTGGCACGTAGAATCATTAGTTGCGGCATGTGGGATCTAGTTCCCTGATCAGGGATTGAATCTGGGCCCCTGCGTTGGGTGTGTGGAGTCTTAGCCACTGGACCACCAGGGATGTCACCAAGAATTCATCTTTTTTTCAAAGTCAGGATATTATCTGCCTTTCTCTAGGTGTTACTCTTGAGTATTCCTCAAAAGTGGTACACAGTACTTCATTGATTTTATTTGTAAACTTTGTAGGACCTAGATCAAGAAGCGTTTTTTGAGGGTGTATTTTAATCTAAAGTTTTGACTACTTCAGATAGCCTGTGTTGTCACCATTAGTTTATGTTTAACCTTCTCTAGTTTTTAATAACTGGTGGTTCTGAGATCACCAAGATTATTCATATCACATTCAGAGGAAACAGTAAGTTATATGTATGTTTAAGGGCCTCAGTGTATTTTTAACTAAAAATGAATTTTCTTTTAAACAGCATCCACCTTGTACCCAACACAAAAAATGGAAACATTTACCCTCCCTTAATTACCATTGCCTACAGTGACATTGATGTCAAAGATCCCAACAGCCAGTCTGTGAAGGTGAGTTCCTTCCTGGTCATTGCCTCTCTATGTGTTACTGTAAAACTGATAGAGTTTGCATTATGGTCCAAAGACTGTTAGTCCTTTTCAGAGTTTTAAATAGTCAAGACAGTTATTTTTTACTAATGGTGGTAAGAGGTGAGTTCTTATTGATTCTGCACATAAAAAGGCAAGAACTAAGTTTGTCAGCGGATAGTGTCACCAGCCGCTGGGCCTCCCTGTTCTGGGTGCCAGGATAGTTCTCGTTCTCTTTGGCCACCTTGCTTCTGTTAAGATTTGTCTCCTTGCCCACTAAACCAGGAACTCAAACCTTAAGTGGGCATATGTGTTTCTTTTCTCACCAGTCTTGCCCACTTGATAGAGACGTACTTAAACAGGCAGAAAGAGAATCAAATTATTAGCTTTATAACTAGTAGAACTAGTTATAACTAGTTTATAGTTATAGTTTATGAAAGTTTATAACTGTTTCACTAAAGTGAAATAGAGAATGCAGTTTGGACCTACAACCAGTTAGTCTTCTGACAGTTTCCCAACTCAGTTAAACTTCACCCCAGAACCTGAGTCCTCCCCTGCCGGGAAGGGCCTGTGTGTGGAAGTGAGACCGTGCACACACGGAGAGCAGGCAAAAGAAGGAGCCTGGCAAAGGCCGAGCTCTGCCTCGCCAGGCGACTGAAGCGTCCCTGCCCGAGGAGGGGTAGGTAAGAGAGGATGGAGATCGGGACCAGAGCTCACCCTTCCAGACTTCTTCCTCATCCCCTCTCTCCTCTAGAAGCATGACAGTTGGAAGGTGCACATTCCTTATCTCCAAGACTCACTAATAGCTTTACATTTCTACTGTTTCACTTCACTGACTTTTCATGTTCTAGTTCTTCAGCCAGTGTTCTTGGCCTTGCTGTTGTGCTCGCACCTCTGCTCAGCTACTGTTGGATTCAGGCTCTCATAAAGCGAAAAGTAGGCACCTGATTTGACATTTCTCTGAAAGATGGCACATCCTCAGTTTTATTACCTGATTTGATGCTAAATTGGTTTCTGTTGCCTGAATTTATATATACTGTAATGAGAGGAGAAAATCCAGGAACAGCTTAGTAACAACAAAAGACTGCCTTGTTTAGATTTTCCTGGAATGTCATTTTTGGGTAGTTAAGAATATGTTTATCTTAATATAAAACACTTCGGGATGTTTTCTTTAAATATTTTTCATGTCCAAAATATATCTAAGCTGTTTTGACAAATTGGAAAATAAGAGGTAGGAAAAAAGTTGAGAGAATCACAGAACTATACTGAGAAAGCCCACCTCAATTCATTCTATTTATAGAATGCACAGTTTTCATCATTTCTTAATTTCTCATGACAGCTATTTTAAAAATTCTACATTCATTTTGAGCAGCTGTATCTTTGCTGTCATACCATCTCTGCAAATAACCTATCTTCCTGTTTTTCTGAGCAGATCAAAACCATCCAATATGAATTCCCTCAGATTTCCTCTTTAATACTTCAGTATCTCTGTTTCAATCTTTCTCGACTCCGGTTCCTATTTCTAAGAATAAAGGACTCTTCCCACTTTCTTAAGTGAATTTTAAACCCGTACTTGTTTAGGTTGTTTTCTCCTATTTAATTTTACATATTTTATTATAACATATTAACGTGTATTTTCTCCTGTTTTACCCCCATCCCTTTATTCGGCCAGTTTCTCTGCTGGTTCCTTTCGTTTCAGGTTGCCCTATCTTAAAAACAAGTTAGCACAACCAAACCATAAAATCTTCTGTCAATTCTGTCAACAATTCAGCTTGCTATCATGTGTCTTTCCTTGATTTCCCAACCATTTATTCTTTCATCATTTGCAGTTTGGGTCCTGCCATTTTGCTTCTTTGAAAACCTCTTTAATGAAGTCAGTGAGGTATTCCACATACGCTGGCTTTATTTCTTTAATTTTACACTAATACAGTTGACCCTTGAACAACATAGATTTGAACTGCATGGTTCTGCTTATATGTGGACTTCAAAAATTTTTTTTAACTAAATATGTACTGCAGCACTCTGCAAAGTTGGTCGAATTCATGGATGTGGAAGACCAGCTCTAAAGTTCTATCTGGATTTTTGACTGCATCGGAATTGATGCCCCTAACCCCCATATTGTTCAAGGGTCAGTTGTGCAACATTTGACTCTACTCGTGACCTCCTCCTCCTCGAAGTTCCCTGTTCTGTGACCTGGTGAGACTTAGGTGTCTTCCCTCTCCTATTTCTCATGCTACTGTTTCTCTTACTCCTTTATGATTCATCTCTCTCCTGTCTCTGTGTAATTGTGTCCCTAAGATTCTTGTTTACACCTTTGATCAATCTGCCTTCTTCCTATGTGATTGTTTAGCCAGTTGCTGAACTCTTGATACACAGGATAGGTCACATGCCTCAGTTACAGAAACCTATCAGAAAATGAAATACAATTACTTTGACTTGACTGCCATTAATGAGCCTAATCTACCTTCTAATGAAACCCNTTTGACTTGACTGCCATTAATGAGCCTAATCTACCTTCTAATGAAACCCTCTTTCTTTAATATGTGCTCTAAGTGGATATTTAAAGTAGTGTGGGTAATTCCCCAAAGTGTATTTATTTATGTATAAGTAAAGGTCAACTCTAGTAATATTGATAATTTAAAACTATGATATTTTTGGTAAAATTCAACTGTGAATGTATTTTTATAGTAAAAATAGGTTTGTATCATATAACCAGTATGGCTAATTTGCTTTCTTTTAAATATCAGGTTTCTTTCTCAGTAACATATGAAATGGATCAAGGAGAAGCACATGTCCAGACAGATGTGAGTTTCTTTTAACCTGTCAAAATACTTTCAGTATATTATTTAATTAAAACAAAATTTTTTTACATGTTCAGGAAAGTTATCAAAATAAAGAGATTTGCCATATATCTCTCACCAAGTCTCCCTTAGCATTAACATCTTACATAACTGTAGTTATTGTTGTTATTCAGTCGTTGGTCGTGTCCACCTCTTTGCGACTCCCATGGACTGCAGCACGCCAGTCTGCATACTGTAGTACAGTGGTCATAATCAGGAAATTAATATTGATGTAGTCCTGTTAACTAATCTGGGCTTTCCTGTGGCTCAGTGGTAAAAAACCCAACTGCCAATGCAAAGACGCAGGTTCGATTCCTGGGTCGAGAAGATCCCTTGAAGAAGGTAATGACAACCCACTCTAGTATTCTTACCTGGGAAATCCCATGGATAGAGGAGCCTGGCGGGCTGCAGTCCATGGGGTCATGAAGAGTTGCACGTGATTTAGTGACTAAACAACAACAAATTAACTAATGTAAATACTCTTTGGATTTTATGGATTTTTTTCACTATCCTTTTTCTGTTCCAGGACCCAACCATCGTGTGTCTCCTTAGTCTCCTTAGGTCTGTGACAGGTCGTCAGTCATTCTTTGTCTCATGACTGACCTTAACACTGGTATTTTGTCCTTCAGTTGGTTTTATCTGGTATTTTCCCATGATTAAATATAGTTTTAGCATACATACCATGAAAGTGATGTTATACCCTTCTCAGTGAGTTGTATCAGAAGATACTTGGTGTCAGTATATCTTATTAATGGACTTCCCAGGTGGCACTAGTGGTAAAGACCCTGCTGCCAATGCAGGAGAGATAAGAGACCTGGGTTCGATCCCTGGGTCAGGAAGATCCCCTGGAAGAGGACAGGGCAACTCATTCCAGTATTCTTGTCTAGAGAATCCCATGGGCAGAGAAGTCTGGCAGGCTACAGTCCATAGGATTACAAAGAGTCAGACGCGACCGAAGCTACTTAGCACACACATATGTTGTTAATGTTGATGTCAACTTCGATCGTATGGCTAAGATGATATCTTCAGAGTTCTCCATTGTCGTCTTCTGCTTATAATTAATAAGTGTCTTGTGGGGAAATACTTGAGATTATGCAAATATCCTGCTCCTTTTTATTCTTTTGCCCTCTAATTTTAGCATCCATTGATAATTTTTGGCCAGTAAAAAATACTATTGTGATATTTGTCTGATGGTGGTTGTGTTTTTCCATCATTTCTTCTATATTGATTAGAATTCTGTAAATAGGAACTCTCCCTTTGTCCACGTGGATTTATTTATTCATTTATTATTAGGTCAGTAAGGACTCATGAATATTTATTTATTCTAGCAATTTTAATTCGTTACCTTCATTTTCTTGCTCAAATTGTCCCAGATTTGTCCATTGGGAGTTTCTTCAGTTTGGCGCCTATGTCCTTTTAGTGTACCTTCTAATTTTTGAGCCCTTTTTTAAGTACTTTGTTACTTTTTATTTACAGTATCTTTGAACATTGATGAAATTACATTATGAAATTACATAAATCTCAGTTTTTTTTTTTTACTTTAGATTGCTTTAGGTGTGTTGGGTGGACTAGCTGTTTTATCATCTCTTTTGAAGACAGCAGGTTGGAAGAGACGCATTGGGAGTCCCATGATTGATTTACAGGTATAATCACAGGGCTTTTTAAAGTATATTTTTATCTTTTGACTATTTTATATCCTTCTAATAAGACACAGATAGCAAATGAGTAAAAAGTTGCCTTGAGTTTCTCTGGGGTATATGACTAGGAGACGTTCATGAGTAGGAAATGTACCCTTGTTTCCCCTCCAACATGCACCACGGCTGGTGGCCAGTCTGCACCCACCAGCCATGCTCTTCTTGTTTCCTCGAATCCTCAGCAACACTTGCTGTTTTCCCACCTTTTCCCATTTTTTTGCCGATCTGGTGGGATGAGTAGTTTGTCATCAATTTCCATTTCTTTGATTACTCTTCATATACTTATTAATCATTTGGGCTTCCCCTTCTGTGAACTTCTTCTTTATATCACTTGCTCATTTTTCTGTTGTTTCCAGTTTTTCTTATTTATTTAAACAAATTTTTATATTTTATTTTATTTAGTTTTTTTGTATTTTCTAAATATAAATCTTCTTTTGGTTTTTGACATTGAAGTTTCTTCTCCAAGGGTAAATCCATCTGTTATTTTACCTATGTGTTACTTTGTTTAGTAGAAACTCTTGATTTTAATACTGTCAAATCTGAATAGGTTTTCATATTATGGCGTGTGCTTTTAGGATCTTGTTTAAAATATCCTCCCCTATCAAAAAGATATTCTCCCATATTTTATTCTGTTAATTTTATGGCTTCATTTCTCATTTAATTGTTTTTACATTTGTTCTTGTTTTTATTTTCATCTGTCATTTATTGAATATTACTGTAAGCCAGGCACTTTTTTAACCTTGACACGTGTAATTCATTTAGTCCTCACAATAGCTCTATGAAGTTAGGTATTGTGATCATTCCCATTTTATACATGCTGAAATTGTAGAGATTAAGTAAATGTCCTATTCATTTAATGTTTACCATATCAAAGTATAGGTAGTATTTCCAGTTAGCTGATTAAGACAATGAGAAAGGCAGCATAGTAAACTGGTTTGTGTTGGGTTATCTTCCTGTCTCCAGAGCTAATGTGCGTGGAAATCAGAGGTGGGGGGCTTGATTTACTGTTTGGGAGAGTCAAGAAAGGCATCCAACAGAAGTGAAGTTTAAGCTGGGTTATCTATGCATTATCTGAGTTTGAGCACACTCCTGGAGATAGTGAAGGACAGGGAAGCCTGGCATGCTGCAGTTCACGGGGTTGCAAAAAGTCAGACACAACTTAGCAACAGAACGGCAGCAACGATCTTCGCATTCCACAAATAGTCACTGATGGTCTGCTGTCTGAGTGCCAGATGCTCTACGAGGTGCTGGGCAATGTGATAATGGGCAAAGGGAGACGTGGTCTCTGCCCTCAGAGCTCTAGAGAGTTTGCCAGAGAGAAGAAGAGAAGAATGTCTGTTGAAATAATACTCATTTCATTCCCCAAAACATTTGGGATGGATGTGTGGAGTGGTTAATTATTGAGCAAGTTGTTGGAACTGACAGATGAGGCCAAAATTTAATTTTGGCCTAGGTTGTAAAGGACCTTGTGGATCAGGAATTTACATTTTAATGAGACATCACTGTACATTTTTAAGAAAGAGAGTGACACAGTCCAATTTACATTTTAGAAAGCCAGCTCTGATGGTGGTATGGAGGGTACGTTGGGGAGAAGGATTCCAAAGTTGAAGAAAATTAGAAAGCAGTTCTAAAGTTCTTAGTTGGTGAAAGATGAGAAGAGTTGAATAAGATAGAAGTTATTGGGAATGGATCAAAAGGTTAGGACCCAAAAGGTATCTAGGAAGTGGCTGCAGTCAGTCCTGACTGATCCATGGATACATGAAATAAGACTTCAAGCTTGAGAAACTGGGTTGATAATAATGTTATTAATAATAATATATTATAAAGTAGTAGAAATAGATTGAGTCTATAACAGCTGTGATTCTCTTTTTAAATTGCAGACAGTTATGAAATTCTTGGTTTACTACGCTGGTGATCTGGCCAATGTTTTCTTTATCATCACTATAGGAACAGGTCTTTACTGGCTTATTTTCTTTAAAGTAAGTGATTTTCTGAATTTAACCTTAGTGCCACAACCTGAATAACTTGTAAGCTCTCTTTATAAAGCAACTGTTTTTACTTGAGGGTGTTTCTAATCAAGAGTATTGGGGCAAGTGCTAAACTCACCGTAACCTGAGTGTATTGTGTTTATTTTATGCTTTCTTTGGGTTATAAACTGTGCCTAGTAAAAACCTTGTGTGGTCATACTTAGCAGTGTAATTGTCATCACAGGCGCAGAAATCTGTCTCTGTTTTGCTACCAGTGCCAGCTCAAGAAGAACGTTTTGTTACTTATGTGGGATGTGGTTTTGCTCTGAAGGTAAGTTTCAAAGCACAGGTTACTGAATTTTAAAACTCTGCTTAAAAAAAAAAGGTCTGCTAATAAACACGTAAGTCTTCAGAGTTAAAACGCTTTCAAAATCTTTGCTGTAAAATTTAGTTTAATTTGAGAAGAAAGTATGAATTGTTCTATTTTACTAGGAAGTCTGCATTTATTTATAATAGATGTCTCATTCTGAAGCTCTACCTTAAATACCTTTTAATTCTTTAATGTAGACTGTTAATCGAGAGTGAACGGTACCACGCTGGATAAAGCGCTGAACTCAGCCTTGGTTCTCTCTGCCTCCACTTTCCTTTCCTCCTCTTCCCATGGCAGCCCCCTCCCTGCTTCACTGTTCTTTCAGTGGATGTGATGCTCTTTACATGCCTCTTTCGTACATCTCATCCAGTTGTGTTGTGATTATTAAGTGACTACTGTTCCCACTGATCTGTGAGCCCCAGGAAGAGAGGAATCATCCCATACTTAGATTTTTAACCTTTGTTTGATCAATAATGCACCTTCTCAGAAGAAGCCTCAGTTTAAACATTCTGAAGTGAAAAGGATTTTTTTTTTCATCAGAAATCTTAGTAGCAGAAATAGAGAAAAAGACAGTAAGAGCATCCTAAAACTTTCATTAGGACAAACAAATTACAGTTGGAAATACCTTTCCTTATAAAGAAGTTAAAGGCTTTTGGAAACCTTGGGAAAGAGAGTCAATTACTCAAGATCCCTGTGTGAGGAGGGAGGTAGTATGTCTCATTTCATATTCCTGTTTCAAAGAAAGACAGAGGAAGGGAAGGTGAATTAATATGTGTGTAAAAAGTCTATGAATTTGGTGATTGTTAGTTGATGAGTTTCTGGTGAGCCCCTGATAGTATTATGACTTTGTCACTTGTGAAACTTACAGTGAAAATGTTAGTCACTCTGACTCTTTGACTCTCTGCAACCCGATGAACCGTAGCCTGCCAGGCTCCCCGTCCATGGGATTCTCTGCAAGAATACTGGAGTGGGTTGCCATTCCCTTCTCCAGGGGATCTTCCTGACCCAGGGATTGAACCTGGGTCTCCCCCATTGCAGGCAGCTTGTTTACCATTTGAGCACCAGAGAAGCCCCATATATCTTCTTGTGATTGCAAATGTTCGTTTCTTAAAGAATCAGTGTTGGTTTCATAGCAGGGTTGATGCCAATACTTTAAGGTGTTTTGTTTGTCATTCTCAGGCTCTGCAATTTTTGCATAAGCTCATCTCCCAGATTACCATAGACATATTCTTTATCGATTGGGAGCGGCCTAAAGGAAAGGTTCTTAAAGCTGTTGAAGGTAATGAAAGTAACCATTTGCACCAAGTTTCTTTTGCCACCATTGTAAAGCAAAGAAGGTGAAATGTTTTACTCATTTTATCTCCCCAACCAGGTGAGGGTGGTGTTCGGAGTGCTACTGTTCCTGTAAGCATATGGAGAACTTATTTTGTGGCAAATGAATGGAACGAAATTCAGACTGTGAGAAAAATTAACGCACTCTTTCAAGTACTTACTGTCCTCTTCCTTTTGGAGGTATAAACTATTTGATATAATTGTATGCAGTTTATGGGTGCCTCATAAATGTTAATTTAATTCCAACTAGATTTTCCTGTCAGTGGTAGAAGTTTAAAATACTGTTACTGAGCCATTAATAAAAATACACATAACATGAAATTTACCATCTTAATCATTTTCAGTGTACAGTGCAGTACTGTTAAGTACGCTCCTGTTGTTTTACAGTCCATCGCTAGATCTCTTCATCTTGCAGAAGTAAAACTCTGTGCCCGTCGTCTTCCCTCTCCCCAGAGCTGGAACCCCCATTCTACTTTCTGTCCTTGAACACCTACTAAGGACCATGTCCTGTGTTAGGATTTGGGGCTACAGCCTGACAAGACACAATGGGTACATGCTTATGATCCCTTTACAGTTATTTGATGGACCTGGGTAGAATTATCAAAGGAATTATTCAGTACTGAATATGAGACTGAAATATGGAAACTATATAACATTTTCTGTAGAACTAGCTGCTTAAGTAAGGTTTGATATAAATTTTGTCAGACTCCTTTGTTTGCCTGCCTTCCTTTTTGCTTCTTTCTTGCCTTTCTCCTTCCTTCCCTTTTTTGAACCTAGAAGAACGTGTTGTGTCTCTGGGACATAAGAACACTGTCTCAAAAACTTACTTATAGTCCTGTTTTTTAAAGCTTAAAAGGGATTGTGTGAGAAAGTAGTTTTATAATCAAGTAAGTTTGGAAAATACTGTATTCCATAAAGTCATGTAACTTCCTTTATCATAGAACTTTCCAGAGCCTTTAATGTATGAGAATAGAAGGCATAGAGGTGAGTATAACATAATATCTTCCTCAAAAGGCATTTTGGAAAATAGTGTTTTAAAGTATAAAAAGTATTTGCGTAGTGCCTGACATGGATTACTGGTTGTTCATTGGTAGTTTACTGAAAGTGAAAAGTGAAAGTGAAAATCACTCAGTTATGTCCGACTCTTTGCAACTCCATGGACTATAGTCTATGGAATTCTCTAGGCCAGGATACTGGAGTAGGTAGCCTTTCTCTTCTCCAGGGAATCTTCCCAACTCAGGGATCGAACCCAGGTCTCCTGCATTGCAAGTGGATTCTTTACCAGCTGAGCCACAACTTTATTTTTTTGACAGAAATTTTTAAGCTTTGTCAGTGTATATGATAATAAGGTTATATTTGGCCTTGAGTCGAAGAGGATGACAGAGGATGAGGTGGTTGAATGGCATCACCGACTTGATGGACTTGAGTTTGAGCAAGCTCCAGGAGTTCGTGATGAACAGGGAAGCCTGGTGTGCTGCAGTCCATGGGGTCACAAAGAGTCAGACACGACTAAGCAACTGAACTGAACTGGCCTTAAGCCATATTGAAGGACTACCTAATGAACTAGCTAAAATTTTGTATTAAATACTTTGTAATTAAAATACTGGATAATTATTTTTATCTAGATTTTCTGCTGTTTGTACAAACTTGAATAGTTCAGTTTTTCAAGGAAAGGAGTAGAGAGACGTGTCTCATTTTCAGACTACAGGAGTTTTCTTTATCTGTATCTTTTAAAATTATTTTTTCTTTTTATTTAAGGTTGTGGGATTCAAGAACTTAGCATTAATGGACTCATCCTCTAGTCTTTCCAGAAGCCCACCTAGCTACATAGCTCCTTACAGCCGCATTTTGAGATATGCTGTGTCATCTGCTCTTTGGCTGGTCATTGGAATTATACAGGTAACAGGAGATTATACTTTGAAGCAACATTACCTCTCTATATTTTTAACTCTGTTTATATACTGATCTTCAGCTCTTGACCACAACAAGATTTCTATAGTATAAAGAAGGTGACAAGAACAATAATAAAGATAGCTAATAGCTAATTCTTATATAGTATGCTAATCTAGGCACTGTGTTAATTGCATTACACAAAGGAACTTACTTAAACTTTATAGTAGCCCTCAGAGATAGATTCTTTTAAATATCCTCATTTTATAGATGAGGATGTGGTGGCACAGAAAGGTTAAATATTTGCCCAAATATGATATTAGAAATCTATTAGAAATGAGCAGAACTGGAATTTGAGCCCAGAACAATTAGAAATCAGCAGAACAAAAACAGAAAAAGAAATCAGCAGAACAGAAATTTGAACTCAGGCAATCTGATTTCAGATTTCATTTCTTATCAATAGTGGGGCTCTGAAGGGTCTTTCAGAGTCTGTAGAATTTAGTTTATATATAATGATAGGAATTGCTAAGGTACCCTCAATCTTTGCTTTAAAACTAACATATTGTTTATATTCATTTACATATCATTAAATCTCACTCAAATTACCAGTACCCCTGCTGAAATTTTCTTTTAAGTATTAATTGAAATAGCTGAAACTAAAAATAAATCTGAGGACTCAGGGCTCTAGCAGAGGATCTTTGCTATGCTTATTTCCTTTATCTTCTTATAGCTAAAAGAAAATAAAAAGAATGAAAGGAAAAAGAGAGAGAGAAGCAGGAGCTACAGCACTTAACTAACTCTAGTCTCTGCATTTCTTTCTCTTGCTTACAGACACTCCCATGAGTGGGAAAAGCCTTTCAGTTTGATTAAGATTTCTTTAACTTTTAAATAAGCAAAACTTTTTAAACTTCCTATAAACTGGAGAGCTTATATTTGCCTTAAAAACGAAATTTTAAAAGATTTTGGAATTGAAGTCCCCAAATTCCTACAGAATTGGATCTAGGTGTCATTCTGTGACCTGAGACTATTGTTTAAATTTGTATTTATTTTAAATTGTTAAGACTTGCGCAAACCTAAAGCTGTAGAATAGAGCTAGTGAGGGATAGTTTGACAATCACAGGAGAGAGACAAACAGAAATTAGGATTTGAAATAAAATTAGATTAAAATAATATGGGGTTTGATTTTTTTTCCCGTTTCAGTTTTGTTTTATTGAGCTATAACTGACGTGAAAGTGAAAATTGCTCAGTCGTGTCTGACTCTTTGTGATTCCTTGAACTCAGTCCATGGAATCCTTCAGGCCAGAATACTGGAGTGGGTAGCCGTTCCCTTCACCCAGGTGTCCCGCATTGCAGGCAGATTCTTTACCAGCTGAGCCACCAGGGGAGCCCTGGTGACATACGACAGTGACAGTGACTGTTTGTCACTGTAGGTCACCAATACAGTGACATACAGCACTGTATTAGTATAAGGTGTACAATGGTTTAACTTACATATATTATGAAATGATTACCACCGTAAGTTTAGTGAACATCCATCATCTCATATAAATACAAAATTAAAGAAACAGAAAAATATTTTTCCCTTGTGATGAGACCTCTTAGAATTTATTCTCTTTTACATATAACATACAATAATGTTAATTATATTTACAATGTTATACATTATATCTTTAGTACTTATTTATGTTATAACTGGAAGTTTGTACTTTTTGATTGTCTTTATCAAATTCTACCCATTTCCCCCTCCAACCACCACCTCTGGTAACCAGAAATCTGATCTGTTTTTCAAGAGTTTGTTCATTTGTCTGTTTTTGAAGTGTAATTGACAACACAGTGCTAGTTCCTCGTACATAGCATAGTGATTTGACATTTCTATACATCTCAAAATGATCATCATGTTGATCTAGTTACTCTGTCATAATACTCTGGAGTTTGATATTTATCATCAGTATAATAGTAAGTAAATATTTATTTTTACTTATACCAGTATAAGTTTTTGTGAACAGATCAGATTTATCTGGATGTAGAGAATTTAAAGGAATACCATCTGAAGCTTTTCATATTGGTTGAGTACAACAACTAAAAAAAAATAACCCACACTGGCAGGCCTGAAATAAAAGTAGCTCTTCTCTGTCCCATGAGGAAGAGAGTAGGGGTACGCAGTGCAGGGCCAGCAGGGTGGCTGCCGTCAGGCCCCGAGCCTGTTGCTCTGCTTTGCCCCTCAGGACTTCACCTCTCAGGCCACCTCGTGGGCCGCAATGGCTGATGGGGTTGCAGGTGTGAACCAGGGAAGGCGACCTCACCCTTTCCTCTTTTTTTTCCCTTTCCACTATGAATTTTAATTGAAAACATTGCAACAGCTTAACTACGCATAATGAAATATGAAACTTCAGTAGTTAAATTATTATTATCATTTATGAGGCATTTATTCTTCCTTATTTTATAGACCAGCAGGAAACTTTGCATACTTGTATTTTCTGTTCTCCATTTCAGAGGAAGATTGTAAAGAGAAAGTCTAAAAGTTTTATAAATCAAAACCTAATTGAGAAGTAAAACAGGGAGAACAGAATCTGTGTATAGCTGAGCGTAGGTGGTTTTTAGCTCATATTTTAGGTATGAAAACAGTTTAGCTCATTTCACATGAAACAAGCAGGTGAAGTAGTAAAGCTGAACTGTGAAAACCCCTGTCAATTAGCTTTAGCATGCTTCTTAATTTTCTTTTTCCCCTGGTTTCTTGTCTTCTGTGCTGGAGTCTTGAACAGGTAACCCCTTGAGGGGGTGTCGGTGATAAATGGGCCGTGAAGGAAACATCAGCAAACCCAATAAGGCAAATCCTGCCATAACTATGTAGCCCACCCAGGCTGTTTAGCCACATGCACATAGATAAATCCAAGTGCTGTAGAAAAGAGTCACCTCCTGAAACATCTGTTCAGCTAGAGCCTGGCCCTTGTAATCCTTGAGTGTGAGCAGTGAGTCCAGATGCTCTGTGAGCGGGCGGGCATGGGGCAAGGACTCTGGCTCGGGGGCCATATGGGCCAGGGGCTGGTCCTCCCTGCAGACTGGAGGGCGGGCTGAGCCGGGGAGTGTGATGACCACTCGCCCCCTTCTCCTTGAGAGCCTTTTCAGAGGTGTCTTCCACCTCTCCTTGGCCAGAACTTGGTCACATGCCCCCCCGTCCGCAGGGCAGCAGCGTGCCCACACAAGGGTCTGTCCCTAGGAGAGGGGAAAGGCTCGTAGGAGCAGCAGCTAGCTGCCCTGGGCACTTTTGTCTGACCTTGTTTGATTCTCACTCTGCTGTCGTTTGATAGAGACGGATGTCTCCATGGTCGCATCCTCAGATTATCAGTGTTTATGCATCCTTAAGAGTTCCTTTAACCTGTAGCAGTTCCATAAATTTGTCTCTACAAACTCTTCTTGATTCTCATAACGTTACGTTTTATTATTCACTCCCCAGCCCAGCGTCTTCAATTTTTAAGTGGTATCTCTTAAACTTTGTTACTGTTTTTATGTCATTTAAAGGAGCTTTAAAATACGTACATGGTGTTTTTAGGAAAGGGTTTTCAGTATTCAGCTGCTGCAGATTCATTTATGTATTCATTCCCATATCTGAGTATATTTGATGTGGGAGGCACTGGCGAGCCCAAAGATAGGCTCTAACAGGAACAAGTTACAACTTGTGACAAGTGCTGTGAAGGGCGTCAGCAGGCAGATGAGACAGCAAGTAGAGGGAGGTAAGGGGAAGGAAAGTTAGGAGTGGGGACAGCTTTGAATAGGGTGGTTAGGAAGTGTTGTCTTTCTCTGAAGGATATCTAAGGTCTATAGTGTAAACTCTTCTCTTTTGATTTGTATAACTCCCCTTTGCAGTATTATTAAATCTGTCTAAGAAAACACTTGAAACCACTCTATTTGAATGTTTAACACATTATCTGTAGTTGAAACAGATTTCTTGACATATGCTTTTTATATGCTACTCTTATCAGAGAAGATTAATTTGAAAAACAAGCAGTTTCTCTAGTAGACTTTGGAATTTAGGAGATGAGCAGAATTGCAGAACTAGACCTAAATTGGCCATAATGCATTGGTTTATCCTAAGGTTTTCAAAGCCCCTTACTTCCTCTCCCTGTGTTTGTCCTATCTTATTTTAATGATACAGAAAAGTTTTTAAATTCAAAATAAGCCCCCTCAGTGAATCTTAACAGAATTCCAAAACACTCTTCCTTTAACAGAAGAATAGGAAATGCTAAGTAGGATTTTATCCCACAAGAATCATTATTGGCCCCTATGTTCTTGTTTGGAACTTAGTTTTTCTTATCCCACAAGAATCATTATTGGCCCCTATGTTCTTGTTTGGAACTTAGTTTTTCTTAATATACTATACTGTGGCTATAAAAGAAAATTAAATCCTAAAATATAATAAGCATGAACTTGGCTTAATGTTTCAGATTGTGTTCTTTGCTGTCTTCTATGAGAGATTTATAGAAGATAAAATTCGACAGTTTGTTGATTTGTGCTGTATGAGTAATGTAAGTACTTTCTGACTTTATCTTGCAACTGTTATTTCTCCCTTTTTAAAGGTCATGAGTACATTAAAAGAGGCTTTAAAAGTGATTTGCTATGATTGGATTTTTAGTCTGATTTCCACTGGTGGTTAATTCCAGAGATGGTCATAATGAGCTACAAGTTAATATTTGCTGCCTTAAATTTTCCTTCTTTATTTGAAACTTCTTAATTGTAAATTATGCTCCCAAATAGTTGACTCAGCCTGAAATCCCTGAAAGGTTTTCATATATCAATCCTCTTTCTTCTTTTCTTGGAAGTGTCTTCAGTCTCTTTTCCATCTACTTTTTAAAATACCTCATTATCCTTTATTACCTTATTGTTCCCTTTATATGTTTTCTAAGAATTCAACTCTCATTATTTTGAGAGGAAGGAAGCAATTTCAAGAAGAACTTAATTTTTATTGTTTTGCAGATGAATTGCTAACTGATCCTTCTCTTTTTATAGATATCAGTGTTTCTGTTATCCCACAGATGTTTTGGCTACTACATTCATGGTAGATCAGTACATGGGCATGCTGATACTAATATGGAGGAAATGAATATGAATCTTAAAAGAGAAGCGGTATATTTTACATCTTTTTCTTTTTTTAAGCTGAGAGGTTCTCATAATCTGGGATTTGTAGTAGTATTTTTTAAAAATCCTTATTGATTACTTTTAAAAGTTGCTAGAATATCAACTCATTAGCCTGAACATTAAAAGGGAACGAATCACATATCATCCTGCATTTCCTTTATGGAGTGTATTTCAGGGTAAACTGAGTAATTCATGAGGGAAAGATCCTCCTAATGGAAGCAAGTAAAAGAATTCTAAGTTAGAAAAATCACCATTTTGTATTGACTAATGAATTAATGCATATAGGCTACAATCATCAGTGGATGCCAAAACAATTAAGTGAAAGATAACAGGGAACTTTATAATCAGGTTGACATTATCTGAACACACTAGCTCAATCTTAGAACATGTAAAAATTAGGAAGACTGACATTACGTACTTCCTATTATGGTGCAGTGAGGAAGTACATAATATCACCCATGGAATACTCTTGCCTAAGAAAATTGAGCCTGAAGGTAATCAAGCCTCTAGCTCTAACAGGAAATCAAGTCTCTAGTTTGCAGTAAATAGCGGGGATAGAGAGACAAAATAAGTATACCACAGAAGCGTTTAGCCAGATGCAGAATGTTAGGATATCTCGTAGGACAAATGACCCAATGCCCCCAACAAATTAGAGGCATGAAAAGAAAAGAAGTGACGGTGGTGGTAGAAGAAAGTTTTTGGATGTTAATTTTAAGGAAAAAAAAAATACAACATATAGACTTTGGATTTTGATTCAAAGAACCAACTATCAAGTAAAAAAAACCTTTGGAAAAAATCTTGGCAATTTAATGAGCTAAATATTAAATTATATTAAGGAAAGATCAGTTTTATTAGGTGTGAAAATGGCATTTTTTTTTGAAGGTCTTATTGGTTAGAGATACTAAATTGCAAATGAAATGACATGGTATCTGGGGTTTGCTTTAAAAGAAAAAAGTTGGGAAGATAGATGAAACAAAACTGGTAAAATGGTAATTGTTGAAGTTGAGTGTCGTACGGTTCTCTCTACTATATATTTTAGAAAACTTACATGAGAAAATTTTAAAAAGAAAAATATGTACCTGAGAGGAAAAACCAAGAGGATTTATTGATTAAGGGATCATACCTGTGACTCGCAAGAATTTAATACATGGTCACAACATCTCAGAGAGGAACAATTTATTTAATACATTGAACTGAATCAGTTGGTTAACTGTGAGAACTTATACCTGGGTTGAAGAGTTAAATTTTAAAAATGAAACTATGAAAACCTAGAAAAGAATACCTCAGTTTGGGAGATGACAAAGCATAAAATACAGAAAGTATCAAAAAAAGTATTATTTATTGATTCTATTTTATTAATGTATAGAACATTTATGTAGCCACAATTATATAGATAAAAGACATAGGGTAAAATTTCCATAGTAAATATGACACAAAGATATTGATCACAGTACTTAAAATCATATAAATCAATAAGCAAACTAAGTTAAAAGCTTAACAGAGGGAATTCCCTGGCAATCCAGTGGTTAAGACTCCATGCAGGGGGACTGGTTTGACCCTGGTTGGGAAGCTAAGATTCCGCTTGTCACAGGAGCACAGCCAAGAAAAGGAAAAAACCAAGCCAAAAAAAAAAACCCTTCAATGACAAAAAGATTTTTTAAAACAAGTAAATAAACAGAGTAGACTAAAAACCTCTAAAAATATTAAACTCACGAATCATGGAGGAAATGAGTGTAAAAATAACATACTTACTTTCTTCAAATTACAAAATTTTATTTTAAAAAGCTAATACTTAGTAGCATCAAGGACAGGGTGTAATGGTCACTGATCTTAGGATACATTTTCATAAACCTGCTAGAAAGCATTTGACAGTATATACCAAGAGCTTTCTGAGACTTCATTATCTTCGACTTACTGATTCTATGAATCTAACTAGCTCAAGAAAATAGTTAACAATGTGAATAACTGATTATGTTCAGTATCTTAATCACAGGGGTTATTTATAAGGACAAAGAATACATAAAAATGAGAGAATATTAAGTAAACTGGTTTATCTATACAGTGAAACACAAAATTCATGTTTTGTAGAACATTTAATGGTACTAAGAGTTGCTCAGGATATAATGTTACATGAAAAAGAAATCAGTATGATCCAGATTTTATACCATCTCTATGTATATGTATAGACAACAACTACTGAAATACCTTAAAATACTGGCATCTCTTGGTGTTGCAATTATAGAAGATTTTTTTCTTTTTGTATTTCTCTGTATTTTATAAATTCTCTATAATCAGAATTTTTTTTTTTAATAAAGAAATTCACTACGCATAGACTGCCTTTAAGTCAGTAGAAAACCAAGTGTCATATTTGTAGCTTAGGTTTAGACAAAGGAGAAGAATGTTAAGCTCTAGAGTAGACAAATAAAGTTAAGAATGGAGGCAAGAATACTTATGCTGAACCTTGAAGCATCTATGAGAATTAGCTAGGTCAGGGGTAGGGTAAAATGTTACAGACATATGGTTCTCAGGAATCAAATTGTGTCAGAGAGACTTGCAGTAGATATCTGGTCTGTAACATTAACCATTGGGTGATGTATCACTACCTTTTTAGTGAAATTAATCAAGGAAGTGTATTCAGAGTGTTTAGAGAACAAAAAAAGATCATTTATAAAAGTTGCTAATTCTAAGACTAGACTTTTTATCATTTATTAAAGAGCAATAAATTGATTATAAAGAAAGCTAAGAATATCAATATATGGTAAAACTAGTATGAGGTGGTGTTGTTTTTTTTTTAAGTAGGGAGAAGTAAAGCCACCTGCACAGAGGTATGATGAAGTAGAAATTAGTAAGACCTGGAGGGTAGTGGCAACCTTGGATACTATTAAAATTGCTTTGTCTCAGATAGAGTTCCAGTACAACTTCAGTTGACTTCCAAGTCTTATAATATTAAATATTGCATTTTCTTTTTAAGATAGGCAGAATTTTCATTATCTTGATCTTAACATGAATTTTTTTAACTTTTCAGGAAAATTTGTGTAGCCAAAGGGGTTTGGTACCTAATACGGATGGTCAGACTTTTCAGATTGCAATTTCTAGTCAGATGAGGCAACACTATGACAGAATTCATGAGACACTAACAAGGGTTTGTATAACTACAATTCAGATACATTTTCTCAATATTTCGTGTTATTTAGGTACCAAGAACGTAACGCAAGTTTCATTTACCCTTGTCTCTTTTTCACATTAGAAAAATGGCCCTGCTAGACTATTGGGTTCATCAGGAAGTACTTTTGAGCAGAGTGTAAAAGCATATCATACTATGAATAAATTTCTTGGCTCTTTCATCGATCATGTATGTATCATCATTTATTTTTAAGCTAGAGTCAAAATTCAGTATTTAAAAGGTTAGCCAGGAATGTCAATTATTTCTTCAGTCAACTAAGTCAATGAACTTAGAACCCTTGTGGGGTTGGTTGGTTGGTTGGTTGTTTTTGCTGAAAAAATTAATACTTCGTGGATGGAGTTAGGTTATGTAAAAGTAAAATGAGATTTTTATACATCTATTAGCATGATGATTAGCTTAAAATATGTCTATACTGGAATTTTGTTAGTTACCAAATATTATCAGTTATTTATTATAGAAATATGCTATGCTTGTATTCATGAAAAGCTCGTTATAAACTTATTTTCAGTACATCTAGCCCTAAGTACTACTAACAGCATTTAAAACTTAAAACATTCTTAAAGAGAATTTTGTTATAAAGTCCAGTGTAATAAATTGTCTTTGAAGAACCAAACCCAAAGATTTTCTTTGGGTACTTTCATTTTTATTTTTCTCTCCTTTTGATTTTATAAAAATTGGGAAGCATTTATTTCACTGCTATTTTTCAAATGGCTCATTTTTTATATTAGGTTCATAAGGAAATGGACTACTTTATAAAAGATAAGTTGCTTCTTGAAAGAATTCTTGGAATGGAATTCATGGAACCAATGGAAAAAAGCATCTTTTACAATGGTATCCTTCAAATGCCTTTGCTAAACTTGAAGAACATAATTGTAGTTATTGTCTTTTGATTTTATACTTTTATCGAGGAAACTTAGTAAACTTCAAGGAATTATAGTAGTTTTCTATATCCCATTTTATTATACGTCATGTAGGAAGAAACATATACGAGATAATTATTCTACAAAAAAGTAAAAAATGAAGCTTAATTTTAAAATCAATTGTACACATGGAAGAGATAGTAAAACAAATACATAAAAGTTTATGTATTGAAATATTATTGAAATATTCATTCAGCAGCACACTTATAAAACATTTAAAGAAGAATAATGTTCATGATTTATCTTTAAGTTTTCATTTTATCCTACTTCTTAATGGCACATATCTATGACAGGAATAGTGACTAAATGGTTTTTTTATCATTAAAAAGAAAGTATATATGTCACTTTTAATATATATGTTAATAACCTCTGTGTGGCTTGGGAAGACTGGAAATAGTATGCTATACCCAGTGCCCTGGCCTGGATATCACTCATCCTGGTCTTACTGAGAACCACATGTTGTGCCAGTCCTGGGATACACAGACTGATGGTCCCTGCCTTGGGCATCTTGATAGCAGACTATGGAAGGCAGGCATGTGATGGATGAGTGGAGTGATGCTGGGATAGAAGTGTGTGCAGACACAAGTTAAACTGGGTGTGGAAAGGAAACTTAACTAGACAGAGTGAAGCCAGAGAGACAATGTGGTGAAGTTTGAGCTGTGTCTTAAAAATAAGTTACTGTTGTCAAACAGGAGGGTCCAGGGAAGAGAGGTGAAAACATTTGTGCAGAGGGGGGAAGGGTGTTATGCACTTACGAACTTTATGATTGAAGCCTGGAATGGAGTGAGAGAGTGCATGCGTGATAAAGAGGGCAGAGACCGAATCCCGAAGGCCTTGTCTGACACCTTAAGGAGTTTTGCTTTATTTTATTCTGTAGAGCACTTGTTTTCAAAGACATTTTTTTAAAATGTTTTGTTCTACAAAGCATGCACTGGTTGCTCCATGAAGGTATGAGAAGAAAATATTAAAATATCTATTTGCAATTCCACCATTCTTAGTTTATATATATTTAAAATTATATGTAGTAGTAATTCATAAACTATGCCTATTATGAAATGCATATTCAGCATTTTATTCTGATAGGGATACATGATCAGAATAATTTGGAAACCACTTCTAATGAACGTGGATGTCATAAGAAAGCCTTCGTATCTGATTCATAAATTGGAAGAATTATTTTGGCAGGAGTTAAACAGATGCCAAGACTATAATAATATAACTTAGTCATTAAGAATATAGCTTTCAGAGTCTTCTGTTCTTAGGTTTGAAATCTGCTACTAGTTTTGTGAACTTGAGAAAGTTGTTTTCCTTTCTGAACTTTAATTATTAAACTTCTGTAAAGTATAACCTTCTAAAGCTTGTTGATACTCTCCTTCAGAGTCGGTGAAATACCAAGGACTTGTGGAGGGCATAAGTTGCTTGAGCAAATGTGAAAGAAATCCAGTAGGAAGACATTTATGTTACCCTTCTCTCTTAGATGCCAGCATTGAGCAGAACTAGAATCCCATTTACCATCTGCACCAGATGTTACCATAACAAAAAGGCAAACTCTGAGATCTAGCTCAGGGCTCAGCCAGTGTAACTTTCAATTCACACATTACCTAGCTGCTTGGATGAAAAAACAGCTGCGTGGATCAGTGTGGAACCTGAAATGGAGACTTCAAGAAAAGCCAAGTTTGTTCTAGAAATGTTAGCATTCGAATCACCCACATATTCCCCACTTAGGTCAAAGTCATGTATGGGTTAGTGGTATGATGGGTTAGTTCTTGATAGAGATCTAGAATTATGAACAAATTTTGTTCCTAACAGTTCTTTTGATGTTTCCATAGATTTTAGAGCCAGGGGAAACTTGTCTTGCCAAATATTTAAAAGTATATTCCTATGAACATAAGGGAATTTGTATTAATTTATTAAAACGATATTCTGAATAGTGACATACGCTGCTTCAGTATTATGAAAGATGATAGTCTTGAAATAGTTTTGTGTATCACCATGGAATTCAGGTGTCTGATACATGAAAATAAATAGTCACGAGAATTGGCTAGTTTAATTTAGATATTTTAACTGACATGCACATTTAATTTCCTTTATATGTATTTTCCCTCTGAATTGTTTCTACTTTTTTTTTTCAGATTTTTAGATTTATTCGTAATGCAGTAGGACAGAAGAATTTGGCATCCAAAACACTGGTGGATCAGAGATTCCTGATTTAATTTATTGAATAGATAACTGGGTGCTGATGGGCCGCTGCATCTCTGAAGAGGCTCTCTGGTCCTCCCTGAAATTGTGTGCGAGAATCATATATTTGTGCTTTCCCCACTGCCTCTTGTGAAAGGGCCTGTACCTTTCATTAGAATCTTAAAAGAGTGTTCACATCCCCAAAAGGATGAACTCACCCCTGCTTGGAGAGTGAAAAGACGTCTCAGAACAGAACCTTGCAGAACTGTTTGAGGCATAAATTGTAATACACTATTCTAGTCCTTGTGTTTTGCTTTTTAAATTTAACCTATCTTCGAGAATTTTTCAGATTCTTTAACCTTTAGTTATATAAACAAATAGAGAAAGGATATTCATTACCTGGTCATTGAAAAATATAGACTGTATACTTAAATTACCAGCAGTTACCAAGCTTTTGCTGCAAATGTTAAAACTGCTTTCCTTGGTTAACCTTTTAGATTAGCAAATTTAATATCCGTTGTTTAATACCCCTTGTTTATTTTTCATAAGTCATGAAGTATTTTTTCTTCTTTTTAAATTCAAGTATAATTGACATGTAATAGTCCTAAAGTATTATAGTAACTAGTTATTTTTAAGTATCCAAGTTTTATCACCAGAAATTGATCACATTTTTTTTGATCACATGTTTATTATTCTATTTTTAAATTTCTAATTTATATCTTCTAAATTGCTTTTTTTAAAATAGATGAAGGATATTCTTTCAGCAGTGTTCTGTATTATGGAAATGAAGCTACCCTTCTTATTTATGATCTGATGTTCTTCTGTGTTGTGGATTTGGCTTGCCAAAATTTTATTTTAGCAGCCTTCCTTACATACCTACAACAAGAGGTAAATTTAAGAATTTTTTGTGGATTTCTTTGAAGAGAAATGTGTGAGAAGCAGATATTTATTTTTATTGCAGAGAGTAACAATGTCTGCCTTCACTCAGAATTTATAGATTTAAAATATGATTAGCCCTGCCAAAAAAAAGGAAAAACATTTCAACCAAGTTCATTCTGTACTCTCCTTCAGAGTCGGTGAAATACCAAGGACTTGTGGAGGGCATAAGTTGCTTGAGCAAATGTGAAAGAAATCCAGTAGGAAGACATTTATGTTACCCTTCTCTCTTAGATGCCAGCATTGAGCAGAACTAGAATCCCATTTACCATCTGCACCAGATGTTACCATAACAAAAAGGCAAACTCTGAGATCTAGCTCAGGGCTCAGCCAGTGTAACTTTGATTTCACACATTACCTAGCTGCTTGGATGAAAAAACAGCTGCGTGGATCAGTGTGGAACCTGAAATGGAGACTTCAAGAAAAGCCAAGTTTGTTCTAGAAATGTTAGCATTCGAATCACCCACATATTCCCCACTTAGGTCAAAGTCATGTATGGGTTAGTGGTATGATGGGTTAGTTCTTGATAGAGATCTAGAATTATGAACAAATNAATCCATGGGGCTGCAAAAGAGTCGGACATGACTGAGCACGCAGGCAGACCATATGCTATAAAACATCTGAGAAGTAGTGAGTTATAATAGAAGGTAAACTATAATTTGTATACACATATATAAAACGTATATCTAAGAGCCCTCCATTAAAAAATGAGATTAAAACACCTTAAATTTATGAGAGTGGTTATAATTGACTAAGTAAACCCAAGCAGATTAATTTTCTATAGCATAATTTAATATTAGAAAAAATGATTCTATTTTTATTCCCTTGGTGTACTGAATTCTCAACTTTTAGGCTAATTAAATAGAAAACATTTAATAATTGAAATAAATGATGACATTTATATGGTAAAAATCCTTATCTCAAATAATTTGACATTAACTAAATATTTTTATTGAAATATAGTTGATTTACAACACTTCAGGTAAAGTGATTCAGTTAAACGTACATACATATATGTATATATATGTATATTTCTTTTTTTGATTCATTTCCATTACAGTTCATTAAAAGATACTGAATATAGTTCCTTGTGCTATATAGTAGGTCTTATTGTTTATATATAGTATTGTGTATCTGCTAATCCCAAATTACCAATTTATCCCTCCTTTCTACATTGAGTAAACTTTAATGTTGGTTTTCTTTTACAGTAATAAAATTTTAGTTTTAACCACTATAATTATCTAAGATAGTTGAAAATAGGGTGCAGTTTATACATCTGTGAACTTATTAACTGTTTTAATTTTTATTCTGCATTATTAGGTCAATATGCTGTTTCCATGAAGTATATTTATATCTATAATATATAAATATCATTTATATTATTGAGCTGTAATATGTGACATTTTCCCCAAGTTAGTTTTTTGTACATTTTAATTACTCAGCATTTTAAAAGCACTTCCAAACTTTTGCTTTTCAATTGTGTTTAAAGATTATAAATAACAAATGAACTGTAAGTTATCATGTTATGTGAAAGTGGTTTATTGAAAGCAAACTTAGGCCTGAGCCACGTAGCCAATAATTCTCCAGGATATCATTTTTTTTTCCAAAATACTCTTTAATAATCCTTTTCATTCTGTACTATGAACTTGAAGGTCACCTTATTCAAGTATAATGGTCATTAATGCCCAAAGCAACATTTCTTTCTGCCTTCTGGTTAATGCTGTGTAAATACTTAAATGTATTGCTATGTAAATATTGTTTATATTACTAAATTGAAAATATAGAATAAAACATTTAGTGTTTCTCTTTCCTGTTTGATTAATATGTATTTTGTGAAATAGCATTTAGGAATACAGCACTACTGGATCTGGTGTCCCCAGGCATTGCTGGAGTCGAATCCTTTAAAAGCGTTACCAGAACATTGAGGATGACTGAGGAGAAAGAGGGGAAGCTAATAAGTTGAGGGTCTGAAACTCTGCTTTCTTAAGGGTCAGCGTACAGAAATGCGTTTCTAAAAGATAAGTAAACACAACAGCCTATATTTGTAAAGCCACCTACTCAGAAGCTTATGAAAAAAATACAACTCTCATTCCACATATGAGAAGTTAATATTCATGTGAATGTAAGTGGAAATTTCAAAAAACAGGTCAGTTGGCTCATCTGCTGATAAATTAAGGCAGAGAAAAGACATTTAAAGTAGTTTTATACAGTATTATTTTTACTTTGGTTAGGTGCATAAGAGTGCATTTGGGTTTTCCTGGATTACTGACTCCTGTGTTCACATTGCATGATTTAAACTTTGGGATCACATGCTTAATTCTCTGCTAGACCTGTAATCTTTTGTCTGTTTCTGTAACACCAACCCACTGTGCGTGTGTGCTTAGTCGTTCAGTTGTGTCCAGCTCTTTTGTGACCCCATGGACTGCACCCTCCCAGGCTCATCTGTCCACAGGATTATCCAGGCAAGAATACCGGAGTGGGTTGCCATTACCTCCTCAAGGGAATCTTCTCGACCCAGGGATCGAGCCTGCATCTCCTGTGTCTCTTGCGTTGGCAGGCAGATTCTTTACCACTGAGCCACCCAGGAAGCTCCCAACCCACTGTACTTTGTATCTTATATCCCTCATTTTTCTGATTACGTAGAAACATTTGATAAATCTCTTGGCCATTTCATAATGAAACAACCCTAGGTTCACCTCGAGGTCCTTTACCAGCTGCTGTGTGCTTTACCCTCCTTAGAAATGCACAGGCCCTTAAAATAACTGCAGATCAGTCTCTATTGTGTGATGTTTATGTTTGCTTACTTCTCGTACTGCTTCCCTACCAAACTGCCTTTTGAGAAGGTTCTGCTGTTTACCTAGATGGAGAAGCATTCAGAGTGCCCATTAATTCAGTGCTTGCAGGCATGAAACAGGAAAACAGGTACTTTTTGTTGTCTGTAAACATTGACAATAAAAGCTGAGAGGAAATAAATGTAAATGAAAGAGCAGTGTGGCTTAATGGAAAATGCTTCAAATTTAACAGCAGAAGCTATGAATTTGAATTAAAATCTTGCCCTTTGTCACTCACTAGCTTTGTGACTTTATACCAAGTCATTTGGCATCTTTGAGTTTCATTCCACATCTTTATAATGGAAATGATATCCTTTGCTTACCACTTGTGATTCATTAGGATAGACTTATAATAACCATAAACACTGGAATTTTTATATACTTTAGTTTGAAATTTGTGCCTTCTTGCTAATAAATTCTATGATATTAAAACAGGTTACTCATTTCAGTAGTTAACCAGTGAAAATTCTGGGCCTTCTGCTTCAGTCACCCCAGCCTCAGTGAGGAAGAGGCCTCGGGAGGTGTCACAGCCTTTAGTGAAAGGAGGCAAGAAGGAGCTTTGACACCATATTGTAAGTGTGCTTTGTGGTACACGTTAGAAAAAAGGAGTAGAGAGTGGAATATCGTCTCTGGAAGGGAGGGTTTCTCTCTTACATGTTCATTCAAGTGACATTGCTTCCCATTCCCACTCCAGAGGTGCCAGAGGTGCTCAGAAGGGTAAGAATTAGTAGAGGACACAGACATGTTAACCAGTAATTACAGCAATCTGAAAAGTGCTACAGCCACTACTAGGGTGTGATGTGGGGAAAGCTTTTAGGTATCTGGTCATCAGGGCTTTGACGTGACAAAGTGGTTGGTATTTGATCCAAGATTTAGATGAGTGCAGTCAAAGGAAAGTACAAGCTCTGAGATGAAGCACATGGCTATTGAGTACTATAGGTAGTTTGAATAGGTATATTTATGCTTTTTTAAAATGCTCTGTATATTACATTTTAACAATTATTTTTTTCCCCTGGCTAGGGAGAGACTGCCCTATTGGGGCTAGCCAATTCTTAGAGGTAGCAAAGGGCTCAGCCAGAAGTGGGCCTCTGATAGCAAAACTGACCAATCCAGAGCTATACCTGCACCATCTGGCCCTTATTCCCAGAAAGCAATATCCCTCCGCCTTCATCATCCAGGCAACCAGGGAACTCCTTTAGCTTAGGGCCTGCTGGAATGATTCAAGCTAGCCAGTCCTAAGTCGTTACCCTGCCCTGCCTTGCCTTTCCTGCAGAATGCAGAAACTGATAAAGGCCAGGACCCAGGCTCACCCCTCGCTCCTGTCTCTGCCTCCCGACCAACGCTGGTGCTTCCCCACACGGCTCTGCGTGGCGCGGGCGCCTCCTGTTCTGGGACCTGCGAGTATAATAACCTGTTTTCCTGAGCCTCTCCTGTGTCTCCTCTTGGGGCTGAACCTGACTGAGTCTCCCGGAGAACTCAGGACAGCGCATTTGGGGATTTTAGAGGGAGGTGGTTGGAAAGGAAAACAGGAGCCGTATCCCTAAAGGTCTTTATATCAAGCCCCAGTGTATGGAGGGTTAGCCAAGCTAAGTTTCCCAGTCTGCCTTCAAATGAATACTCAGCACCCCAGCGAATGAGTGAATAGACGGGGCAAGAGAGGGCCTTCCACAGTCAGAGTGCTCTGGTATTACTGATGCTCTGGGGCTGGGACGCTGGTGCTCCTGCCCGTCTGTTGCCTGGCTGCATGTTAACAAGAAAATATATTGCCTAAGAGAGGCGAGGCAGTAAGGCAGTGAAGGGAGTTAGTGGCTGAGAATACAGACTCTAGGGCCTACTGCCTGTGTTCAAGTCCTGCCTCCACCGCTTACTAGTTGGGTAATCTGGGATGGCTTCCTCAGCTGTTGTTGTTCAGTCACTCGGTCGTGTCTTGACGCTTTGCGACCTGGTGAAGTGCAGTACGCCAGGCTTCCCTGTCCTTCATCATCTCTCAAAGCTTGCTCAAGCTCATGCCCATTGAGTGATGCCATCCAACCATCTCATCCTCATCTATACCTATTTCATAGAGCTACTGGGAAGATTAAATGAGTTTACTGTGTGTACAGTGCTTAGAAGAGTACCTGGCACATAGTAAATACTATGTAGTCATAGTTCAGTCAGTTTAGTCACTCAGTCGTGTCCGACTCTTTGCGACCCCATGGACTACAGCACGCCAGGCTTCCCTGTTCATCACCAACTCCCAGAGTTTACTCAAACTCCATCATCCATTGGTGATGCCATCCAACCAGCTCATCCTCTGTATGTTTCCCCATCTGTTTGCCATGAAGTGATGGGACCAGATGCCATGATCTTAGTTTTCTGAATGTTGAGTTTTAAGCCAAACTTTTCACTGTCCTCTTCCACTTTTCATCAAGAGGCTCTTTAGCTCTTTAGTAGTAGTAAGTCCCATTAATATTTAATTCTGAAAGAAAGACCTAGATTAGTCCCTCAGGAATTGCTGGGAATGCTAGAAGTAACAGCAGACAAACTGTCTAACCAAAGCAATCTGTGGATCTTAAAAAGTAACTTTGCTTCTATTATAGTTACATTACAAAAGAAATACATGTCTGCAGCCCGAGGATAAACAAATGACAGTGGGACGGAGACTAGAAACAGAGCCGCAGAAACAGAGCCACAGACACACATTCAGTCACTTGATTTATGACA